ATTAAAAGATTACTTCTGTTTGTACAACATAGAATGAAGCTTCCAATAAGTCTAATAAATGGCTTTGTGTCACAAAGTGACTTACACTGTGACTGTTTATGTCACAGTGTGGCTTACAGTGGTTTGTATCAAACACTCTGAATCCCTTGTATACTTTTACTCGGGAGACCAGCTTATATAGAAAAATAGTAAATTATAAGCAGGAGAAGGATATCTGGTCCATTATTCCTCTCCACTTAAAGCCATTCCATGGCACAAAACAACAACAACAACAAATTATATGTGTAAGCACCATCCCAAGGCGCTGAACAGTCAGGCTGGCGGTTGGGATCAGGAGGGGTGGAGGGCAGGGAGGTTAGGGATGGGGGAGTGGCCGAATGTGGTCGAAGACGAGAGTCTTGAGACGCACCTTGAAGGAGGCAAGGGAGGGAGCGAGGCGGAGGGACTGGGGGATGGAGTTCCAAAAAGTGGGGGCAGAGAGGCTGAAGGCTTAACTGCCAATGATCTCCGTTTTTCTCCATTTATAGACAGAAACCAATTAATGGCAATATAACGCCTATAGCATCAATGTGTCTCAAAGCACAAGCCCAGGATTGAACGAGACAGACGGTCAAGACTGTGAGCTTGAGCCGCCATGTGGCACTTGACCTCACAACTCTCTAATCCAGAGGCGAGAGTCCTACCAACCGAGCTAGGCTGAGAGTTGCTGTATTATTATGGTGGTTCAACAAAGGATGCAAATGCCTGGCTGTTTGCTGTTATGCAAACAATATCGGCTCCACCCGAGGCATAGCTGTGTCCCTTTGTCTGGCTCTTCAGGCTGAATTGAACTTCAGTCAGAGTCAGTGTGTGCATACAGCCTCCACTTAGTTAGGGGAAGGGAGAGGAGTTTGAAAATGTGTGTCTAAGTCATAAGATCCGTTTGGTTATCAGTGTCTTGGTTATACCACTGTGAACATCTGTGAACAGACAGATCATCATCACAGCGACTGCTTCGCACACTGTCAGATCAGATTTGTCTGCTGTGTAAAGACAGCCTCTTGTTTTGGATTTATACACAGCCACTTGGCACCTACTCTCTGGAATCCATTCCCAGAGCCCTCTGACTTACTCCATCCCTCCCCTCTTTCAAGGTGTGTCTCAAAATGTACCTCCTTGACCCCATTATTTTGGTCAGCTTTCCCTTCTCAATCCCCTCAGCTCCCATCCCCAGCTCGGGTACCCAGACACAATTGTCAAATGCTTCTGGGATTCTTTCCCAACGTGAAAGGTATAAATTATATTGTGTATCGCCCGTTGTGTGGGCACCCCAGAAACACTCCTGCTCCTTCTTAACATGAACCCTTTTTCCTTTTATTAGGCTACATTTCCATAGCCATTGGGTGGCAACTGTTGGTTGTCCAAGTGGTCAATATTTATGTGTGAGACCTTGTCTGAGTGTCAGCAGGCTGTTTGACCATGCTGGGTCCCAATCCTGTCCTCATCCAATCTCCACAGACAGAGAGAGCCTCTGGTTAGTCAAGAATAACAACAACAGCTTGGAGTTATACAGTGCCCCTCACTCAGGGTAGCTTCCCAGAGCACTTAAAGAATAGTAACCCTGGCTGATGCTCGCTCTCTAACCCAAATCATTGAAGGCAGCTGTGGCCCCATTTTCTGCTCCGGTTGAGATGGGCACAGATGGGAATTCGAACCTGCAATTTCCTGTTTTGTACAGTGCAGTGATATAATAATCCTTGCATTTGATACAGCACCTTATCATGTTGTTGCGACATCTCAAAGCGCTTCACAGAATATATTGTAAAGTGGAGTGACTGTATATTTTGTGGGCGAAACACTGCAGGTGATTGCGCACAGCGGCTTCCCCACAAACAGTGATGGATTGGGATGCCTTTAACCGCTTGGCCATTGGAAATGTCTCCTCAGGACATTGAATGGGTTGAGCTAGAGCTCATTACAGGGAAGATAGTACATAGTCTGGGAAGGAGTGGACACACAGCTCAAGTGGATCACATGCGTTTTTATTCCAATGGGGCACTTGGCACATATTGCTTGTTCCCAGTGTGACCATATATGACTAGAGTGCTGATACAGTTAATGTCAGTCATTTCCTCACGTACCACTGTCAATAAATGCCTATATTAGAACATAATGTTTACTGTGTTTTTGCTGATCAATGACAAATATATAAATTGAATGGACGTTTAGTTAACTGTTAACTCGTTGCTCGCTAGTATCTTTCTATCACTGATTGTAATGATTATTCTGATCTGTCAGTCAAACAGGTGACTTATTTTCTCATTTCAAAGTCTGAATTCAACTAAATAAGTGAAAGAAAGAAGTTGCAATTTTTATAATGTCATATCCTGTATGCCAATATCTCTCAAAGTGATTTACAGGAATTATTATCATGTGACTGTGCTGATAGGGAATCGTACCATAAAATAGCTCACGGCTAAGAGGTGAGTGGCCTACTTCATCTGGAGGATTGTTGGTCAGGACGTTGGGAGAAATTCCCTTCTCTTTTCAATGAGTCACAGATCTATAAAGCCCACCTGAACAGGCAGAAAGGACCATCGCTTTAATTCTCATCCATCAATGTAGCGCCCCTCACACAGCGATTAGATAAGACTATGAGTTCAAGTCCCGACATGGGGTTTGAACCTAAACCTGACTGAGTGATAGTGACTGAGCCGGGGTAACACCTGGTAAAACACTTAGAATTAGTTACCTGTAGTCTGATTTACATAGAGGTGTTATTTATGTACAAATTCTACTAAGGAGTCAAACCCTTTCTTTAATCTGATGCTGAATTGTACCATTATTGTTGTCTTGTCTCCCTGCTCAGTGTCAGACTCTGCCAATGTAAAGCGCTCCGAGATGCTGCCTGTGTGAAGGACCCTATATAAGTGCAATAGTTGTTATTAACGTCCAAATACACAAACCGGAAACTCCCATTAAAGTCAAACCAAAGACCAGTTTCCAAGAGAAAGCTTTCGCGCTATCATAGTAATAAATCCTTGCATCTATAGCAGCTCATCATGTTGTCAAAACATCTGAAAGCACTTCCCAGGATTTACTGTAAAGTGTAGTTACTCCGTATTTGTAGGCAAACGTGGCAGACAGTTTGTGCAAAGTAATGTCCCACCAGCAGCCATGAAGTGAGTGAGCTATTTTATTTGGAGGATTGTTGGCCAGGACACCGTGAGAAATGTCTCTTTTCAAATGGTGCCGTGGGAACTTTAATGTTCATATCAGAAACTCAGCCCTTGAGATATATGGACCCTTTTCACCCAAATTAACACTTCCATTATCGGATGCCTGCAACAAACGATATTACTTCTCTCAGTAATTAATATTCCTGAAATAAGGTCTTCAGGCGCGATGTGAAGATGGGGAAGGAAGGGGCAAGGCGGAGGGATAGAGGAAGAGTGTTCCAGCATTTCGGGGTCACTGATGGTGGAATGGAGAGCGTGAGGGACATGCAGTGGTTACTGATGACAGATATCGTAGCTGGATTTTCTGAAGATTTAATAGACACAAGAAAAGTTAAATGGTTATACTACTGTACAATTACAAAGATAAACCGTTACAAGAACAGTTGGCCCATAGATTCTGCAGGAACATCCCCCCCCGCCTTTCAGGAAGCTCATTCTCTATCTGGCTGTGTGTCTCCAATTCAACCACTAAAATTTAAGTAATTCCTTACATCTGGGAAAGAAGTCTCACATCAAATGTCCCTGAAGAGAGGAGCACTATGCGAGTTCAGCGAGTTTCTGCTCCACATTTCGCCCACAAATATACAATCAATTCACTTTACAGTATATTCTGTGAAGCGCTTTAATAATAATAATAATAATAATAATCCTTGCATTTGATATAGCGCTTTTCACATCTTCTCGAAGTCTAAAAGCGCTTCACAGAATATACTGTAAAGTGAATTGACTATATTTGTGGGCGAAACGCGGCAGCCAAATGCGCACAGCAATGTCCCACAAACAGTCGTGGATTGAAAATGACCAATTTATTGTTGTTTTTGGTTTGGGAGGGATTATTATTATACTCTGTGTGGAGTAAGGAAACTTGCCCAAGGTTTCGCCCTCTGCCTGGAATTGAGCCCAGGTCTCTCACTTGCAAAGCGAGTGCTCCAACCACTGAGCTACAGGACTCCGCTTTGAGACATCTAGAAGATGCGAAAAGCGCTATATCAAATGCAAGGAACATTATTATTATTACATTGTGAGGTTATGGCTGAACTGAGTCATCGAATGATGACTAATATAGTTGTGAGGATGGAGACTTACAATTTCTGATTCAGTGGAACATTTCTTGGTGAGTAAACTGTTTTTTTTCCTCTCCGCTGTTTGCAACCCTCCTCCTCGGCAAGTTCCTCCTTTAAAAATAATAATAATCCTTGCAAGCTCTTCACGAAATATACTGTTAAGTGAATTGACTTTATTTTGTGGGAGAAATGCATCAGGCACTTGTGTACAGCAACGTCCCACAAACAGTCGTGGATTGAGTGATCAATTTATTATTATATTTTAAATTTTTCTTTTTTTTTGAAGGGATTATTACCCCCGGAAAAGGGTAGCATAGGGATTAGAGCGAGACAAATTCTCTAACCACTATGCTGCAGGACTACCTAGTTTCTTTTTCAAAGCAATATAAATCCTGCCTCAACCACTGATTCCTTCTGTTTTCAAATAGCATTGTAGGATCATTAACGTCCAACTGAACAGGCAGACGGGACCACAGTTTAACGCCTTATCTGAAAGCCAGCAAACAACGATAATGTGGGGCTCCCATCATCAACCAAGACAAAATAAAATGAAGGCTACATCATTATAAGATGTCCTGTGTACGATAGCCAGGACACTGCTTGCCTTTCCATGCTGTACTTCCACATCCTAATTAGTAATTTCTCAGTAACACATTTCTCTGTGGACTTCCTGATTGTTGCTCCTCCCCCGTCTCGCCTTACAGCCTGTGTTAGCATCTCAGACATCACTCCAGTATCTGCAGTGATATCTGTCGGATAAGGTTTGGGTATATGGGAGCTGTGCAGTGGGGAGACGCAGTGAGTACCTATATCGTGCAAGGCACAGTGCTGGTCAATGTCTTTAACAGGTCAGTGAGCTCCCAGGACACAGTAACGACTAAAGGTCTATAGCCTTATAGAGCAGAGCATAGGGTGTTGCTCTCTCTTCAGTAAGTAATGTGACAAACTCAACACCCCCTGCAGAGTGTTTGCGTGTTCACGCCAGGTGCTTTGTTGCATCAGCTTTGTCTGAAGGGCTGTGGTAATGCAAACTCCTTCATTTCCTCACGCAACGCTCCTGTCAGCTCGCTGTGCTGTTTGAGTAAAGAGAAATGTTTCACTGCAGGGTTCACAGTTAGCAGGCATCGGTGTGGTTGCGTTTCTTTATTTAAGTGAGTAACGACTAAAGGTCTATAGCCTTATAGAGCAGAGCATAGGGTATTGCTCTCTCTTCAGTAAGTATGATATTGGTTAAATTTAGTACCACAGTACAAGGGTACTTCCTCCTAAACTGGCTCGTAGTTTCCCTGATGCTCCAGGGCAGTCCTGGAAGTGTGCTGTGTGTTGCCAGAGATGATGACCTCCAGCTGAAACATTAATAAACTTTGGTGCCTGTCTGCCTGTTCAGATAGACGGTAAAGATCCTGTCCTGTGGTGCTATTTGAAAAGAGGAGGGAGTTTCTCTTGCGGTGTGCTGACCATCAATTCCTTTAAATAAAATAACTGACTCGCCGCAATGTACTATTCTTCCTGTATGACCGTGGACGGTAAGCATGGGTGTGTCTTACTCAGACACCACAGAGAGCTTGCTCAAGCAAGCTGCAGCTGGAAGGAGCGTTGTGTGAAGAAGTGTAGTTCAACAGTCATAGCTGTTCAGACAAAGGCTCCAGCCCTCGCACTGTCTTGTGCGGAGTTCCTCAGGGCTCTGTCCTTGGTCCCCTCTTCAATATCTATATGCTCTCTCTTGGTGACATCATCCGCAGACATGGGGTCAACTTCCACATGTGTGCAGATGACACCCAACTCTCTCTCTTTGCCTCCCCCCCCGACTCCAGGACCCACTGCTGTCCTGACAGAATGTCAGTCAGACATCAAGTCCTGGATGAGAGTTAACTTTCTTCAGTTGAACATCAACAAGATCTCCTCACCTCAGGCGCTGACAGCATCACCATCCATGGGGCTCACTGCCCCTCACTGAGCCAATCCGGAACCTTGGGGTCTTGTTTGACCCTCAACTATCCTTTCTACCCCACATCTGTGCCATGACCCTCTCATATTTTAGGTTGCAAGGTATTTCCAGTCACTGACATTTGTTTAGTGCAACCTCCCCTACCTAAGCTCCTGTGAGTGACAGGTCAATGCTAACCCAAGACATTTCAAGAACAAACACGTTTTAGTTGAACTCATGAATATTTTTATGCAGCACACTGTTCTGCACGCAAATAATGATGAGTTCTAAGTGTAATACAAATTTACATACACACACACACATATATATAGCACGTTGCACTTATATAGTGCCCTCCATGCAGGGCAGCATCTCAGAGCGCCTAACAGTGGCGGAGCCTGACTCTGAGCTGGGGTGGGGGATGGGAAAGTGGTCATAAGCACCGTTGAAGAGGAAGGTTTTCAGGCAAGACTTGATAAAGAGGAGAGAGGATTGAGGGAGAGTGATTGAGGGAGGCAGAGGGATTGAAGGAGAGTGTTCCAGAGTTTCGGGGTGTAGTGGCTGAAAGCGCGACCTCTGATGGTGGGGCGGAGGGTGCGAGGAACGAGCAGGAGGCCGGTGCCAGTCATGTTTCTACTAGCCACGTCTCCCCCGCTCCCCCGCTCAGAGAGAAATGTCCCGATGGGGGAGGGTGTGTACCCTCATTTCGGCTGTAGAGCAGAGCCGGCTCTCTTTTGTCGCAACTCATTCTGATAGAAAGCTGCAGAAATATGTTACTGTGTGACTGGAGGTGTGACCCTGGTGTGTTCACACCCTTTGCACCGATCCATCTCTTCAAATGCTGCAAAGCGACTGAATTTGACGCTGCACTATTTATATAGGGGTTGATCAGGAAGAAAATAATAGTTCTTGCATTTGATACAAATATAAATGACCTGGTCTTGGGTATATGGAGTACAATTTCCAAGTTTGCAGATGACACTAAGTGAGGAAAAGTAGTAAACGGTGAAGAGGATAGTAACAGATTGCAAGAGGGCATAGACAGACTGGTAAAGTGGGCCGACACATGGCAGATGAAGTTTAATGTGGAGAAATGCAAAGTGATGCATTTGGGTGGAAGAATGAGGAGAGGCAATATAAGCTGATAGTAGAATTTTAAAGGGGTGAAGGAACAGGGAGACCTGAGGGTTCATATAGGTAATTGTTTGAAGGTGGTAGGACAGGCAGATACAGCTGTTAAAAAAGCATATGGGATATTAGGCTTTATAAATAGGGGCATAGAATATACAAGTCAGGAAGTTATGGTGAACCTTTAGGTTACGCCTCAGCTCGAGACTGTGCTCAGTTCTGGGCACCACACTTTAGGAAGGATGTCAAGGCATTGGAGGGGGTGCAAAGGAGATTTACTAGGATGGTACCAGGAATTAGGATATTCTCCCAACATGAAAGGCACTATACAAATGTAATTTGTGTTGTTGTTGTTATCAGGAGAGGTAGAGAAGAGAGGGTTATTCTCCTTGGAGCAGAGAAGGTTAAGAGGAGACTTAATAGAAGTTTTCAAAATTATGAGGGGATGCGAGAGGATGAACAAGGAGAAGCTATTCCCACTGGTGGGTGGGTCAGTAGCCCGAGGACACCGATTTAAAATAGTTGTTAAATGAAACAGAGGGGAAGTGAGGAGAAATGTTTTCACACAGCGAGTTGTTCAGATCTGGAACAAGGCTGGTGGAAGCCGATTCGATGACAACTTTTAAGAGAGAAGTAGGTAATTATTTGGGGAAGACACAAACAGCCATGAAATGTCCCATAAACAGCCATGAAATTAGTAAATGATTTTATCACTGAGAGGGGAGGGGAATTGTCAGCCAGGACACCAGGAGAAACACTCCTTACGTTTCAAATAGCGTAACATGGGATCTTTAACAGCCGCCTGAACAGTTTGACAGGACCTTGGTGTGACGTCTCATGTGAAGGACATCACCTCTGACAATGCAGCACTGTTCTCTCCCCACCCACCAGGACTGCATTGGAGTATCAGCCTGGACGGTGAGCTCATAAGAGGCCATCGTGTCCGCTGGACCACAAACCAGGGAAACAGTGGGATTTCCCAGCGTCGTGATTGCACTGTGAGTGATGCACTGTGTGCTCAGTGTCCTGCACTTGGTCGGGAAGGTATAACTAACCGATGTACTGTTCTGCTTTGTTTTTCAGATGTGCTGACAGGGACGAGCGAGAGCAATGAGTCAGCCCAGTGAGATGGAGAACCAGGCTCACGTTCTCTTCCACAAGTTCCTTCAGGGAAAGAAATGCACGGAGACGCTGAATGCATTCCGGGAGCTTTGCACTGAGCTGCAGCTCGACCACACCGACTTCCAGCATCTCTACCAGAAACTCAAGGGCAGCCTGAATTACTGGAAAGCCAAAGCCCTTTGGACGAAGCTGGATAAACGAGCATCTCACAGTGACTATGGGCAAGGTCAGGCCTGCAGCGGAACAAAGGCAAGTGTATTCCAGCAGATCAATGGTTTGCAATATCCATCAGGAAGATGAGAATATTGCCTGAGCTCCTGTGTCAGCCTTAGGGAGCTCTCGTTTCTCCTTCTTAAAGGAGCAATGCTACTCATTAGGGAGTTTAAAGGGGCAATGTCCCTCATTAGGTAGTTTAATAATAATAGTCCTTGCATTTGATACAGCGCCTTATCACATTGTCGAGACGTCTCAAAGCGCTTCACAGAATGTACTGTAAAGTGGAGTGACTGTGCAGTTCGTGGGCAAAATGTACCTCACTGGGAACATTGACTCAAAGGCGAGAGACTGCACCAGGTTGATGATGACAATGCTGGGGAGGGAAGGAGACAGAGGGGCAATTGTCTAACAATAAAATGCAGCCAAGGGAGAGATAGATTTTTTTAAAAACTATTTTCCTTTGACAATCAACACCCTGAGCTGAGTGTCACACCAGTGTTACTTCAAGGGGATCACAAGGAAAGAAAAATCTCAGTTTATTTTGGGATATCTTTCTTTCTTGAAATATGAGGCATTGTGCTTCGAGCTGGGGGTGGGGGGATGGGGGAGGGGGAGACCAGGGTAGTGGGGAGCGGAAAGATGACCGAAACTGTGGTGAAAAAGGTAGCCTTTGAATAGTCAGAGAGCGGGGGCAGAGGGGCTACGAGATTCTACCCTGCATAAAGGGCGCTATATACAGTAAAGGCAGGTTGTTGTATTGCATAATTCAGCAGAGTCTGTGTCATTATATTAATAATAATAATTTGGTCACTCAAACCACGACTGTTTGTGGGACGCTGCTGTGCGTAATTGGCTGCCTATAAAATATGCAGTCGATTCACTTCACAGTATATTCTGTGAAATATTTTGAGACGTTTCAAATATAAATAATAATAATAATAATAATCCTTGCATTTGATATAGCGCTTTTCACGTCGGGAGGACATCCCAAAGCGCTTCACAGAACACACTGTAAAGTGAATTGACTGTATATTTGTGGGCGAACGCGGCAGCCAATTGCACACAGCAGTGTCCCACAAACAGTCATATGGATTGAAAATGACCAATTTATTATTGTTTTTGGTTTTGGAGGGATTATTATTAGGCTCTGTGTGGAGTAAGGAAACTTGCCCAAGGTTTCGCCCTCTGCCTGGAATTGAACTCAGGTCTCTCACTTGCAAAGCGAGTGCTCTAACCACTAAGCTACAGGACTCCACATATATCAAATGCAAAGATTATTATTATTATTATATAACTGGAGGAGGGGCTGGCTTGTTTAGCCAACTTCCTGAATTTGTATTTTTGTTATTTGCATTTGGTCTGAACTTGTATCTTCTGGGGAGAAATGACATTGACATTACCTTGCAGAGTATCAGTTTCCAAATTCCTACGTAGTTTCAGTGTCTGAATCCAAATGAGTTGACTCTCTCTCTCTAAATCTGCCCAAACCCTCATACACGCATTCATTACATCCAGGCTTGACTATGCAAACGCCCTGCTTGTCGGCCTCCCCAACTCCTCCCTAATAATCCCTCCAAAAAAAAACAATAATAAATTGGTCATTTTCAATCCACGACTGTTTGTGGGACATTGCTGTGCACAATTGGCTGCCGCGTTCGCCCACAAATATACAGTCAATTCACTTTACTGTATATTCTGTGAAGCACTTTGGGACGTCTAGAAGACGTGAAAAGCGCTATATCAAATGCAAGGGTTATTATTATTATTACATAGGCTGCAGATCATGCAGAACTCTGCAGCCTGTGTCCTCTCCCACACCAGGCTTTGTGACTCTTATCACCTCCATCCTCGCCCGACTCCACTGGCTTCCCATCACACAGAGGATACAGTTCAAGATCCTGGCCCTCACCTTCAAAGCCCTCCATAGTCTTTCTTCCCCCGAGATCCCCCCGATGTGAATGGCACTATACAAATATAATTTTATTGTTGTTGTTGTTATCTCTCTGAGATGCTGATCTGCAGACAATCAGTTTGACCTCTTCCTCTCACAATCTACACTAACACTAAACTGATTTGGTTTATATTAGAGTGTTTGCTTCTCTCAGGCTGTTGCCACAACACACGAGCGCAGTCCCAGCCTTTCTCAGCACTCTCACCTCAGGGTCAGAAGGTTGTGAGGTCTGAGCACCACATTGAACCTTCAGCTCACAAGAACATCCTCTTCGACCAGGCCTTTGGTCACCCTATGCTCACTGCACTCCACCCCTCCCGATCCCAACCCCCTGCTCAGGTCCAAAATCCCTGACTGTTCAACGGCTTAGGACGTCCTCCCGACGTGAAGGGTGCTGTTTAAATGTGATTTGTTGTTGTTCTAGATTGTTACTATAACACAGTAAAGGGAAAAGTAGTACATTGTCAGAGCTGCCAACCTTTAGATAAGATGTTAAACACATCTATCTGCTTCATGGGGCTTTTAATGTTTCCCCTATTAATTCCTGATCTTTCACTCCAAAAACAAATTTGGTGACTCAATCCACGACTGCTTGTGGGACGCTGCAGTGTGCAATTGGCTGCCAAGTTTCACCCACAAAATACACAGTCAATCCACTTTATAGTATATTGTGTGAAGGGCTTTGAGACATCTCAACGACTTGATACAGCGCTATATCAAATATAAGGATAATTATTATTATTTGATGACCCGCATTCCTTGGCTTCCTTGACAATGATGCCAATTTAGCTCGTCTTAATCTCCGATCCCTGCTTGTGATGTGAACGGCCTGGCTGTCTCAGGCCTGAAATGTTTTCTTAAACAAATCTGCAGAAACCACAAGGTGTTTAGTCGCTGATGTTCTTCCTCTTGTTCCAGTGTTTGGTTCTGGGTGCTGGACCTTGTGGTCTCCGAACTGCCATCGAACTTGCCTTCCTCGGGGCTAAAGTCATCCTCATAGAGAAGAGGGACACTTTCTCTCGCAATAATGTCCTTCACCTCTGGCCGTTCACCATCCACGACCTGAAAACTCTCGGTGCCAAGAAATTCTATGGGAAATTCTGCTCTGGCTGTCTCGATCACATCAGTAAGTGCCCGAGGAGCAAGTGTGCATGTGTCTATATGTGTGTCTGTGTATATCTGAGTGTTTGTGTATGTGTTGCATCTGTTGGTGTCTCTGTCTGTGTGGGTCCCGGTCTATGTGTGTCTCTGTCTATGTGTCACTCTGTCTATGTGGTCTTTGTCTATGTGTGTCTCTGTCCATATGTGTCTCTGTCTATGTGTCTATGTCTATGTGTGTCTATGTGTCTCTGTCTATGTGGGTCTCTGTTTGTGTGTCTGTATTTATATATCACTATGAAGTTTGTTTGTTTCTGCCTCTGTGTATTGGTGTAATGTACTGTGTGTGTTTGTCTCTGTGAGTGTTGGTGTGGGTTAGTGTCATGAGGACTTCTCAAGCGCTGGACAGTCAGAGATCCGCACCTGAGCTGGTGGTTGGGATCAGGAGGGGTGGAGGGCGGGGAGAGGAGGGATAAGAGGATGGCAGATTACTGAGCTTCAAGCACTCGGGATGCTGAGTGTTGAGGTCAACAACCCAAAGCCTTGGGTACAGACTTGCCTTCTGCTGTATGGATAGTCCAAAGCTTTGCTAGACAGCTATCACCTTGGTTCAGTTGGTAACATGCTTGACTGGATTGTGGGGTCAGACCACACATTGGGAGATGGAGCTCAGTTTGCGTTGAAACTCCAGCGTAATGCTGTCCTCCAACAATAAACCAAGGTCTCATCGGCCTGTTTAGATGGATGTTAAAGATCCTGTGGCACTATTGGAAAAGAGATGGGAGTTTCTCCTGGTGTTTTGGCCAACAATCATCCAGATAGATTAGCTGTTGGGAGAGCTTGCTCTGCGCAAATTTGCTGGCTGTGTTTGCCTACAAAAATATACAGTCACTCTGCACGACAGCTTTGAGATATTCAGATCTTATTGGCATTTGAAAGTATAATAGAGGTGTTCAAAATTATGAGGGGTTTTGATAGCGTAGATTGGGAGAAACTGTTTTCTCTGGTGGGTGGGTCGGTAACCAGAGGAGACAAGTTTAAGATAATTAGCAAAGAACTAGAGGGGAGACGAGGAGAATCTTTTTACCTATAGAGTTGTTATGGTCTGCAATGCTCTATATGAAAGGTTGGTGGAAGCAGTTTCAATAGGGAACGTTTGCAAGGCTATGGGGTAAGTGGGGGGATGGGACTAGCTGGTAGCTCTTTCAAAGAGCTGGCGCAAGCACGATTGGCTGAATGGCCTCCTTCTGTGCTGTAAGATTCTAGGATTCTATTAAATACAGGGAGTCTTTATTCTGGAAGATGATAATAAGGACCTAGTAATCTCGTCATTCCTTGTGTGACCTGTAGGCATCCGGCAGCTACAGCTGATGCTCCTGAAGGTGGCCCTGATCCTGGGGATCGAAATCCATGTCAACGTGGAATTCAAGGGACTCATTGAACCTCCGAAGAACCAGGAGAAAAGTAAGTGAAGAGCAGAGAAGGAGCCTTGACAGAGGTTTCTGAAATGATGAGAGGTTGTTTATGTGCTGTGTCTGTCGATATGTGTCTCTGTTTATGGGGAAATTATTTCTACTGATTGGGTGAGCCGATAACTGAAAGAATTTGGGATTGTGCCAATTGGAGTTCTTCCAGAATTGAAGCAGCTAAAGCCAAATAGATTACAACCACCAGCTCTGGTGAGCTTCCCGTTGCTTGTCCAATTAGGACCACCCTAACCGTCAGGCCATTGGTGGGTTCTCTGAAGCTATTCCCAGTGGCATTGCTACCTGTCCAAGCCCCAATTGATCAGCCAGCCAGGCTAGTTGACTGGTGGTTAGCTTGCCTCGCAAGCCAGAGGATCTGGGATTCGATTCCCAAGCAGGATGTAACTTCAGTTTCCTTACTTCACACCCTCTGTTTACCAGCAGTAAGTAGGAACCTGGTTGTTAGTCAATTAGCAGGTCACTTTCCGGGAGTAATAATAATGTTTGTGGGACACTACTATGTGCAACTGGCTACCGCGTTTCGCCCACAATATACACAGTCAATTCACTTTACAGTATATTCTGTGAAGCGCTTTATGTGACAAGACCCTATATCAAATGCAAGGATTATTATTATTACTAAAGAGTCTCTGACTCAGGTTCTGAGTGTGTGCATTGTATCACTTATCCCTCTCTAAATCACAAGGATGATCCCAGAACTGAGAGGTTATACCTATCAGGAAAGGCTGAACATGCTTAGACTCTTCTCTTGAAAAGAGGAGCGTAAGGGGTGACCTGATTGAGGTCTTTAAAATGATGAAAGATTTTGATAGGGTCGTCATAGGGAAGATGTTTCCACTTGTGGGGGAGACCAAAACCAGGGGAAATAGCATAGATGTATTTAAGGGAAAGGTACATGATGGAGAAAGGAATAGAAGGTTATGCTTGAAGGCTTAGTTGAAGAAGGGCAGGAGGAGACTCATGTGGAGCATAAACACCTGCATAGACCATTTGGGCCGAATGGCCTGTTTATGGGCTGCATATTCTAATGTAATGTATTCTACATCCCTACTGTATTATTAGCAACTGTATACAAGACCAGCCTTTCTTTTATATAAATCACTCTAATCCCTGGCCCTTTGCTTCACAGAGACTGGATGGAAAGCTGAACTCCTGCCAGCCAATCACCCAGTGACTGAGTTTGAGTTTGATGTCTTGGTTTCTGCCGGTGGATCTAATTTTATCCCAAACGGTAAAAAATAACATGTGGAACATGGGCTAAACCCTTCATCTCAACTGATTTAACACATATAAAAAGTTATATATGTACAATTTTCATTTATTTATATATGTAAATAAATCCATCAAAAAATAATAATATGGTCACTCAATCCACGACTGTTTGTGGGACACTGCTGTGCGCAATTGGCACAAAACGCGGTCAAGTTCCCATGGCACTATTTGAAAAGGGAACGGAAAGTCTTGGCGAACACTCCCACAAATAAAACTGATCACTCACATGATGGGCGTTTGTGTGGGAATTTACATTGCGCAAATTAACTATCTCGTTCAGCTAAAAATTAAAGTCACTACGCCTCACTTTACAGTCAAACACTTTGACAAGTCTGAAAAACAACATGAAAGGCAAATGCAAGGTTCATTGTTGTTATTGTTGTAAATATAATTTTTGCCTTGAAACTTTCAGGGTTCAAGAAAAAGGAAATGAGGGGGAAGCTGGCTATCGGGATCACCGCTAACTTTGTGAATCGGCACAGCTCCGCAGAAGCCAAGGTTGAAGAGATCAGCGGAGTAGCGTCTCTGTACAACCAGAAATTCTTTCAGCAGCTCCACAATGAAACAGGTCAGATCATCCCACACAGATCATCAGCAATTCCAGTTGACTTTGCCAATTCATTACCCAACACCCAACTCGAATCCTCCTTGGATCAAATTCAAAATTCTCCTCCTTTTAAATGCCATGCCTTACCTTCCTTCTGTGATCTCATGCGACCCATCTACCCTGCTTGCTCACTCCGCTCAACGCACACTGGCCTGCTTCACATCCCTCATCCCATCACCCACTATTGGTGAGTGAGATTTCAGCCATTCTGCCCCGCTCTCTGGAACTCCATACCAGAGGCCCTACACTTGATTGATCACATTAGAATGGTGTTAATACCATTAACGAGTTAATAATAATAATAATAATAACCCTTGCATTTGATATGTTGATGAGACATCTCAAAGCGCTTCACAGAATATATTGTAAATTGGATTGACTATATTTTGGGGCGAAATGCGGCAGTCAATTGTGCACAGCAGCGTCCCACAAACAGTCGTGGATTGAGTGACTACTTTGTTTGTTTGTTTGTTTATAGGGATTCTTATCCCTGTAAAGCGATCCGTCAATTGACTGCCAACCAGGTTCCTAATTGCTACTATGTAAACTGAAGCGTGTGTAATAAGGAAACTTACCCATGGTTTCGGCCTGCCCAGGTTGGCACGACTTCCTATTCCCATTTGGAGTTCTCATTTGCCCATCTTAGGCCGCACGTAATGAATCCCCTTAGAAATGTCGCAATGCCAGTCCGAATGGCTTCACTGATGGATTTTACTTTGTTCTTGTTTCTTCAGGCATCGATTTAGAGAACATCGTTTACTACAAGGACGACACCCACTATTTTGTTATGACGGCGAAAAAGCAAAGTCTCTTAAAATATGGGGTCATCCGCCAGGTAGATCACCGTCTCCCCTTATACACGCGTGTGTAGAGGACAGTTAGCACAGCGCTGTGCAGCCAAATACATCAGCCTTTGCTGAAGCGCAGAAATATGTTAGGATCTCTTGGTTAGCTGTGCGTCAGCCTGGAGCAAGGGTAGAACTCTTGCCCCTATTTCAAAAGCTTGTGGGTTCAAATCCCACGTCAGGCCTTGAACTCACATAGTCTAAGCTGCTGCGCCAATGGAGCACTGGATTTCTGTCTCTCTCCCAGTGTCCTGGCCAACAATCCCCCCAAATAAAATTGGTCATTTGTTTCATTGCTGTTTGTGCGCAACTGGGCTGCTGTGTTTGCCTACAAATACCCAGTCACTCCATTTCATAGCAAATCCAGTGAAGCCATTTGAGACGTTCTTTCAACGTGAGAAGGCGCTATATAAAGCAAATGCAAAGATTATTATTATTATTAGCTCTGTTGGGATCTCCTGGTGTATTCAGCCAGAGCTGATGAAGCCATTTTACGAAGTGCAGAAATGAAAAATTGCTCCTAATTTTTTTCCGCGGAAACAGGATCAGAGAGAGACAAATGCTCTCCTCAACACACACAACATGGACAAGAAATCTCTCCTGCGCTATGCTCACCAGGCCGCCGATTTCTGCACCAATCACCAGCTGCCAGATCTGGAGTTTGCCCTGAACCACCGTGGGGACCCAGACGTGGCCATGTTTGACTTCACCTGCATGTACCGCTCAGAGAACGCAGCCCTGGTGAGAGAGCGCCATGGACACAGGTTGCTGGTTGCACTTGTGGGGGACTGCCTAGTGGAGGTAAGAATGTCGGTGTTGGCTCGGTGTGTTTCCAACCCAATGGGTTGAAGAATCTGCCCTATTCCATTGCTCATCGGCTGTTCCAAGTTCTACATTTGGTTTGAAATCAAAGTAACGTCCTTGCATTTGACGTGGCTTCTAATGCCTCAAACCACTCGATAATATTCGCAGATGAGAAAGCGATTCAGTGATTCAAGACAGATCACGTTCAGTTTGTAGCAACGTTAATGTTGAATGTTAGAGATTCTGTTTACAGTATTTGAAAAAGGAAAGATTTTTCCCAATGTCCTTGCCAACAGTCACCCGGGTCACACACTCGTTGACTTCATGGCTAATTGTGGGATACAGCCCTTTGCAAATTGGCTGCAACGTTCACCTACAAATACACAGTCATACACACATATCTCCCACTAACATAGTCACTACACTTGACAGCAATTTCCAGTGAAGCAGATGGAGATGTTCTGACCTTACATGTGCTGTATCAGTTACAAGGATTATTATTGTTATTATTATTATACATCCTTGAAAAGCAGAATTCGGGGGTGTTGGAATTGGGGAAGCTGAAGACACGTGTTGGCACGTGGAGGGGGCTGGAGAAGGCTGGATGGCTGAAGGCACTCTCGTGTCTCTGAGTCACTATGTCCTACCAGACGCAGCCACAAAGTTACTCAAACTCAGTAAATTTTGACAGTCAAAATACACAGGGTAAAAATACAGACTCCAGCCTCCTTGGCTGTTCTGGGTTGAGCTGTAAAGCCATTTTACGAAGTGCAAAAATGAAAAATTGCCCCTAATCTTTTTCCGTGGGAACAGGACCAGAGAGACAAACGCTCTCCTCAATAGTAAACCTCCTGTTTAGCTCACAGCCGAAGCTCATAGCCAGTGTTCCCGCTACCGGTCACTTGCGTGGGAATGTTCAGTGAGGACAGGATAGATCTCGGCTTCCCCCTTCGCTCCCGCCCCCTCTCCCCGCCCCTCCCTCCCTCCCCCCCGGATGAGAAAGCCACAGGCTGTATTCCAGCACAACAACAACAAATTACATTTACACAGCACCTTTCACGTCAGGAGGACGCCCCAAGGTGCTGGACAGTCAGGGATTTGGACCCGAGCAGGGGGTTGGGGATCAGGGAGGATGGAGGACAAGGGGGGTAGGGAGAGGAGGGTGACCGAAGGCAGGGTCGAAGAGTGGGGTCTTGAGATGTGCCTCGAAGGAGGCGAGGTGAGGGAGGGAATGAGCCGAGGGACTGTGAGATGGAGTTCCAGAGGGTGGGGGTATAGAGGCTGAAGGCCTGCCTGCCAATGGTGGGGTGGGCCAGGCCGGGCGGGGGACGTGCAGCAGGCCAGAGCCTGTTGAGCGGAGGGAGCGGCCGGGTTGATATGAGGTCAGCAGGTCACAGAGCTAGGAAAGAGCAAGGCCGTGGAGGGCTTTGAAGGCAAAACAACAACAATAACTCAGAGAAATTATACTTATAAAGCGCCTTTCATGTCGGAAAGGACATCCCAAGGCGCTGACACAGTCATAGCCTCTCACCGCACAGTCGCAGATCTCACCGCACAGTCACAGACTCTCACCGCACAGTCAAAACTCTGACTGAACGGCCGCTGCTTTCACAACTCTCCTTTAATCCACAGCCGTTCTGGCCGCTGGGGACCGGGATAGCGCGTGGATTCCTGGCAGCGCTGGACGCGGCCTGGCTGGTGCGGGGCTGGGGGATGGGGACAGCCCCACTGGAGCTGCTTGCTGAGAGGTGAGTGAGAGAGAAACACGGACGAATGGGTCAGGCTGGAGGGTGTGAGGCACACACCAACCCTCTCACTGAGGCCTCCGCACAGTCACACCTGATTCCAGGAGGAGAGTGGGGAGACGAGAGTTGGGAGAGGAAAGTAGAGTGGGGAAAAGGAAAAGGAAAAGATGGGGGAGAAGGAGAGAGGAGAAGAAAGAGAAGAAAATGAAGAAAAGCCAAAGGCACCAATATGTATATCTCAGTCTCAGGAGTGTGGGCCTAGAATTGATATGGAATCATAGAATATTGCAGCACAGAAGGAGGCCATTCGGGTGCCTGTGAAGGCTCTTTGGAAGAGCTGCCCAATCAGTCCCCTGCTCTTTCCCCCATATCCTTGCAAATTTTTAATCCTTTTCAATTACCTATCCAATTGCCTTTAAAAGTTGCTTTTGAATCTGTTTCCATCACCCTTTCAGGCAGTGCATTTCAGACCATAACTACTCTCTGTGTAGAAAAGATTCTCCTCATCTGCCCTCTGGTTCTTTTGCCAATGATCTTAAGTCTATGTCTCCCGATGGTGTGTATATATATATATATATATATCTATATCGATGAGATGGTGTTTGCCGGTTCCATCACTGACATCTACCCAAACCCACCCCTTATTTACCAAAGCAGTCAAGGGAAACCTGAAATGGTGTGTTCTAAATTAGTCAACGTTGTCACATTGTCCCATTCTTCTGTTTTAACAAAATAGTCACCACATTTAACAGACAATACACTATGGAGCTCTTTGGTATTTTTTGATGTTATAGGCAATTATCAATATTATTTGTTTTATTTATTATTATCTTTGATTATGATGATTTTCTTGCCTCAGGGAGAGCATCTATCAGCTGCTGTCTCAGACCAAACCTGAAAACACACACAAGAAAGTCACTCTGTACAGCATTGATCCCTTCACTCGATACCCCAACCTCAACCTCAACTTCTTCAAAGCTAATCAGGTTAGTAATGGTCCAGGGGAGGGTCTGATCAGGTTGACTGATTAAACAGCAAATGGTATGATGTGACTGGCAATAGTTGCTTATTAGTGTAATAATAATAATAATCACGCCTTATTGGGTCTTCGAGATGTCTCAAAGTGGTTCACAGGATATACTGTAAAGTGAATTGACTGTGTAGTTTGTGGGCAAAACATAATAGAAATAACAGGGCAGCCAATGGAGAAGGTTGGAAAATCAGACGATTACAAGAGAGCTTTGGATGAAGAAGTCCCTTCGGCCCATCTAATTTCGTCCTTCTAGAATACCCACCTTCCCATCCTCTCATCACAGGATCAAGCTGTTTCTTAAACGTTTCTTCAATGTCAACCACTGTTAAGAGCTCTGAGATGCTGTCCCGAATGAGGGGCACTATGTAAATGCAAGTTGTTGTTGTTGGTTTGTCACTGATGTGGAACATCTCTCTCTCTCTCTCTCCTGATTAAGGTGAAACACTTGTATGATGTGGGGGACACTGCAAAGATGGAAAGGATCTCCCTGAGCAGCGAGGATATTCACCGCAATGGTAAGCCACTGAGCAGCGGAACAGCCTGAGGCAGTAACAGATCTGTAGCGTATTAGTTAGAGCGATCACCTCGCAAGCGAGAGGTCCGGGTTCAATTCCCGGGCAGGGCGAAACCTTAGGTGAGTTTCCTAACCCCACGCGCCTCTGCTTACCGAGCAGTAAGTAGGTTGTTAGTTGATTGGCAGATCGCTTTTCTGGGGGTAATAATCCCTTCAGAAAAAATAATAATTTAATCACTCAATCCACGACTGTTTGTGGGACTGTTTGCTGTGCGCAATTGGCTGCCGTGTTTGGCCCACAAAATATTCAAGTCAATTCGCTTTACAGCATATTCTGCGAAGCGCTTTGAGACGTCTCAACAACATGAGAAGGTATCACATGATGATTATTATATCAAATTATTACTAGTGATTATTATTATATCAAAGCATAATTATTAGATATTATTATATCAAGGACTATTATTAGTTCATTAGACATCTGCAGGTGTGATCCCTCGCAAGGTGGATATTAGTGGTGACTAACTTGACTGGGTCTGATGTTTGATCTGTACAGACACGCTGGGGGACGTGGAGCAGTTGCTGAGCTGGTGTAAGGAGCAGATCGAGGGCTACGGGAATGTCAAGGTGGTGGACCTCACTACGTCCTGGCGCAATGGGCTGGCTCTGTGCGCTCTCCTGCACAAGTTTCGACCCAACTTGATGTGAGTTCCAGCCAGCAAGCGAGTGCTCCAGGGCAAAGGAATGTTGCAGAATGCAGGCTGCTCTTTTCGTTAACTAACACAGTGCTTTGCTTCTCTCTCTTGAGCTGAATCCTGAGATATTAATAATAATCCAGTCTTAAAATTAGTGGTACTGAGTTTGATCTGTACAGACACGCACTGAGTTGAAAAACTTCTTCACTCAGAGGATAGTGAATTTATGGAATTCTCTACCCCAAAGGGCTGTAGATGCTCAGTCCTTGAACATATTCAAGACTGAGATTGATAGATTTCTTGTGGATAAAGGATAAGGCAGGTAGGGGAAGTTAGAATAGATCAGCCATGATCTTATTGAATGGCGGGGCAGCTCGAGGGGCCGAATGTCCTGCTCCTAATTCTTATGTTCTTATGTTCCTTGCATTTGATACAGCACCTTATCACGTCATTGAGACGTCCCCAAGCGCTTTACAGGATATTCACAGTATATACCGTGGAGTCCTGCAGTGTAGTGTTAGCGCGCTTGTCTTGTAAGTGAAAGGACCCGGGTTCAATTCCCGGGGCAGCGGTGAAACCGTAGGAACGGTTCCTAAATCCACACCCCACTGTTTACCAGCAGTGAGTAGCAACCCAGTTGTTAGTCGATTGGCGGATTGCTTTCTGGGTGGGTAATAATCCCACAAAATACTGTAAATTCACTTTACAGTATATTCTGTGAAGCGCTTTGAGACATCTCAATGATGTGATAAAGCGCAATAGCAAATGATTATTATTATTAAATCCTGCTACTGGCATCTAGTGGCAGACATCAGCACTGCACCCACTTTCACTTTTCTAATAATAATAATGATCATATAATCATTTTAAATGAAGGAGAGCAAAAATAGAACTTGAAATGTGGTGATGGTGAAGTGTTGACATTTAAATGTGAGGGACTCTCCTTAATCAGCGCCTGTACTCTTTGTCGTCTCACCAGTGATTTTGAGAGTCTTAAAGAAACCAACGTGGCAGAGAATAACCAGCTGGCTTTTGACATCGCGGAGAGGGAATTTGGGATCCCTCCCATAATGACAGGCACCGAGATGGCCACAGCCACCAGCCCTGATAAACTCAGCATGGTCATGTACCTGACCCAGTTGAAAGACATCTTCAAGGATTCATCCCCAGGTAAAGGCTTCAACTGCACTTAGTACAGTGCTGGGTGTCAGTGATTTATCTCCACACATGTCCCGGGATCAGGTGCAGCCTGGCTCACTGGCTCAGTGTTCTTGACTCTGGGTTTGAGCTTTGAACCCACATTCCAGGCTGACAGAACACACAGTCACTACACTTTACAGCATATTCTGTGAAGCGCTTTGAGACATCTCGATGGTGTGTTAAGGCGCTGTATCAAATGCGAGGGCTATTATTACTGGGCAGGGGATCGGTGGGGCTGCGTGATTGGTGATGTGATCCTTTTGATTAGACCTTAAACAACAATAACTTATGAGCATAAGCATTTGGTGGCGCAAGAAGTCGAAGGTCCATCCAGTTCGCCTTCCGCCATCCTGGCCGTCGCTTGACAATTTTATAATATTTAAATATATAATATAATACAATTCATATATATATATATATATATATGTATATAACCGGCATTCATAGAGCAGCCCTCACACGAGCAGTGTCTCTGAGCATTTAGTTTGACTTTGTGGTTTAAAGTCACTTCTGCCTGTTCGGGAGGAATTAAAGATCGCACTGTTCAAAAAAAAAAAAAGTAATGATTATTTCTGGATTACCTGACCAACCATCCCGTGGGTAAATTGCGCTTTTGGTCAACTGTCCCCTCCCATTCCCAGCTTGGGTGTCAAACTAGCAGTGTCAAGCACTTTTGAGATGTCCTTGTTACATGAAAGGCACAACATAAATTTAATTGTATTTCATAATGGACTGTTCTAAGGTGTCTGTAATATTCTTTTCTCTCCAGAGCACCAGACTGTCAGCAAAAAGTCGATAACCATTTTATCTGCCAAATCTGCCCTCTTGTTCCTCAGCAATCTCCGCAAAACCACAGCCAGCAGGCACACCTCACAGGTAAACAATTCTTATTTACTCCTCACCTCATGGCACTGACCCATCCCTAGGCTCTAGACACCCTCCAGAGCCTCATCCAACGCACCGCTCTTCACAAGGTAATGAAATCACATACACAAAGAGACACACACACACACACACACACACATACATACATAAAAAGAGAGAGACACAGATACACTTAGAAACACACAATGTCAGAGAGTCACACACATTAAGTCAGACAGACGCACATCCAAACACAAAGTCAGAGAGACCCACACACAGTGAGAGAAGAAAGGGTGGGAAGAGATATGCACACAGAGGACATTGCCATTCCATCATTTGGAGGGGATGTGAGCCCCTGTGCAAGTGCTGGAACACACACTGAGCTCAGGCAACACAAGAGAGAGAGAGCTGCGATTCCTGACGTTGTTGACTGCATTTCAGGCCAATCAAGAGAACAAGGCTGAAGAGGAGATGAAGCAGCAGAACAATGATTCCAATGTAAGTCAATCGTTAGTTTTATTCCAGGTCTGAACCTCGGCTATGCTGCAGTGTAAAGTCTGCTCTGTTGGAAGAGAGAAGGGAGTTTCTCTGTGCCAGTGTCCTGGCCAACAATCCCCTATATAAATTTGGTCATTAACTCCATGACTGTTTATGGGACGCTGCTGTGTGCAACTGGCTGACGCATTTCGCTCACAATCCCTGTGCTTTACAGTATATCCTGTGAAGCGTTTTGAGACGTTGCAACAACGTGATAAGGCGCTATATCAAATGCAAGGACTATTTATTATTATTATTTTACTCATTTTACTCATTGCGTGCTCTGGGTCCCTTGTCCTTTTGAGGGTTGTGGGGCGGGTGAGAGACAGAGTAGTGGGGATGCCTACACTGAGCTCTAACCCAGACGAGCCCCAGCACGATGTGTGATCTGAACTGTTGTGTGTGTACGTGTAGCCAGTTGCTGGGACAGAGACAGGCTCTTCTGCCGGTGGCCGAGGTGACTTTCGGTCACTGACGTGCGAGGATGGGCCAGACGCTTCCAACATCAACCAGGGCTCTGCCCACAACACCCAGGTCAGTGCCACCCAGGTCTGTACACAACAACAACAACTTGAATGTACATAGTGCTTCACATAGGGCAGGGGGTCCAGCCTTTTGGATGCCCTGTTTGAGAAATGTCTGTGGACCGCACAAGCAATATTTTTGGGTTTCCCTTCCAGAAACATAACACTGTTGGGTTATGGAGGGAGCGGGTGGGCCAGGGGAAATGGAGGAGGGGCTGGGAGGGGTGGATACAGCCCGCCGGTTGGACCACCCTGACCTTCACAAAGGCTGTTTGTGCCAACTTGCTGCCCACAAATGTGCAGTCACTACGTTTGACTGTGATTTCACTTCATGGCTGTATGTGGGACATTGCTGTGAGGAACATGGCTGGAGTGTTTGCCTTCACAGTGTATCCTGTCAGGTGCTTAGCAATGTCTCCCCATGATAAGGCGCTACAAAAAATGCCAGGATTATTATTATTATGTTATTACAGATGAACGGACGTTACATTTCTCAGTATTTTTGAGCTTCCTAAAATGGCTACGTTTTGCAGAAGGGTGATATTTTGTAAAGCCATTTCTGAATAATCTTTTTAACAGTTCCAGTCGCACTGATGATTATAGAATCATAGAGTCATACAGCACAAAAAGAGGCCATTCGGCCCATCGAGTCTGTGCCAGCTCTTTGAAAAGAGCAATGTAATGTCAATCCCACTCCCCAGTATCCCATATGCCCTTTTTACAGCCTTATCTGCCAGCCTGTCCTGCCACCTTCAAGGATTCATTTACCTGCCCCCCCAGGTCTCTCTGTTCTTTTACCCCCTTAAGATTGTATTACCGCCTATATTGCCGCCCCTCATTCTTTCTACCAAAATGCATTACCTCACATTTCTCCACATTGAAACTCATCTGTCATGTGTCGCCCATTTTACCATCTGTCTATGTCTTCCTGCAGTCGGCTCCTATCCTTCTCACTGTTTACCCCCTCCCTAACGTTGTGTTGTCCGCAGACTTGGAAATGGAGCTTGCTATACCCAAGTCCAGATCATTTATGTATATTAAGAAGAGCAGTGGTCCTAATACCGGTCCCTGGGGGACACCACTGTACACTTCCCTCCAGTCAGAAAAGCAGCCGTTCACCACAACTCTCTGCTCTCTGTCTCCCAGTCAGTTCTGGATCCGCTGCCACTGTCCCTTTTATCCCATGGGCTTCTATCTTTCTTACAAGTCTTTCATGTGACACTTTGTCAAATGCCTTTTGAAAGTCCATATAAACTACATCAACTGCACTCCCTGTATCCACCCTCTGCGTTACCTCATCGAAAAATTCTATTAGATTTGTTAGACAAGATTTGCCTTTAACAAATCCGTGTTGTCTGTCCCTAATTAACCCATATTCTTCTCAGTGAAGATTTATTCTGTCCCGGATTATAGTCTCCAGGAATTTCCCCACTACTGATGTTATGCTGACTGGCCTGTAGTTCCCAGGTTTGTCCTTCTGTCCCTTTTTGTATAGGGCGTCACATTGGCCACTCTCCAGTCCTCGGGCACCACTCCTGTGTCCAACGAAGATTGAAAAATTGTAGCCGAAGCCTCCGCTATTTATACCTGTGTCTCCCATAGTAACCTTGGCTGCACCCTGTCCAGTCAACCTTTTCAGTACTTTGGAGTCCTGTAGCTCAGTGGTTAGAGCACTCGCATTGCAAGTGAGAGACCTGAGTTCAATTCCAGGCAGAGGGCGAAACCTTGGGCAAGTTTCCTTACTCCACACAGAGCCTAATCCCTCCAAAACAATAATAAATTGGTCATTTTCAATCTACGACTGTTTGTGGGACATTGCTGTGCGCAATTGGCTGCCGCGTTCGCCCACAAATATACAGTCAATTCACTTTACAGTGTGTTCTGTGAAGCGCTTTAGGATGTCCTCCGACGTGAAAAGTGCTATATCAAATGAAAGTATTATTATTATTATTACTTCCTCTCTGTTTATACTTACCCTATGCATTTCCTCTTCCCTCTCCTCCGATACTGCGGCATTTGGTGCATCCACTTCTTTTGTGAAGACAGATGCAAAGTACTCATTCAGTACATCAGCCATGTCCTCTGCCTCCACAATAAGATATCCGCTTGGTCCTTAATTGGCCGCACCCTACCTTTGACTGACCATTTTTTCTTGATATGTTTGTAAAATATGTTAGAATTCCCTTTAATGTTACCCACTAACCTTTTCTGGTATAATCTTTTTGCCCCTCTTATTTCCTTTTTCAGTTATCTTCTGCACTTCCTATATTCTATTTGGTTGTCTTCTATACCTTGGGTTTGACATTTGTCATACGCCTCCTTTTTCTGCTTCATTCTAGTTACAATTACCTTCGTCATCCAGGGAGGTTTGGACACCCTACTTTTCCCTTTTGTGGGAATGTATTTATTCTGTCCCCGAGCTATCTCATCCTTGAAGACTTCCTACTCTTCTTTGGTTGTTTTATCTGCCAATCTTTCTTTCCAGTCCACCTTGGCCAGGTCCCCCCTTAACTCACTGAAATTTACCCAGTTGGTTATCTTCACCTTAGATGGTTCCTTGTCCCTTTCCATATGCATTCTGAATCTAATGATGTTGTGATCACTATTGCCCAGATGCTCTCTCACTGAAACCTGCTCCACTTGCCCTACTTCATTCCCCAGAACTAGACCTAGCACTGCTTCCTTCCTCGTTGGGCTGGAAATGTACTGATCAAGAAAGTTGTCCTGTAGACTATATAGAGCGTGAGAAGGCATGTGGTTCAGGTGGAAGGGAAGTGTGTGACGTTCTCTCATGTGTTGGTAGGACTCTATCACGGCCCCCGGCAGCAGTGAGGTGTGTTATTTCTGTAACCAGCGAGTCTATGTGGTGGAGCGGTTCAGCGCTGAGGGCAAGTTCTTCCACCGAGGCTGCTTCAAGTGCCACCTGTGCAAGGCAACTCTGCGACTGGGTGGCTATGCCTTCCACAGCGGAGATGGTGAGTAGCCAACATCACTGTCTTCTTGTCAGGTCAATGAAGGATCGTGGGACAGGAGGGCCACCTTATTAACTAGAACTAAAGACAGAAGTCACTGGGAACGCTCAGCAGGTCAGGCAGCAGCTAGTCCTGCCGCATCAACACCTCGATGATCTCATCATCTTCTGCCCGCCATCTAATTTTTTCCTCTGCCCCCCTGAACCCCCCTTCTCTGTTTGTCCTTATAAACTGCCCAGAGATGCTGCCTGAGTGTTCCCAGCAACTTCTGTTTTTATTTCAGATTTCCAGCGTCTGCAGTATTTCGCCTTTTATAAATGAGAGCTTCTGGTGCTAAAACAAACCTTTTTTTCCCATCTCAGCATCACTGAATATAACCAGCTCAGGCACAGCACAAGTTTGATGTAAAGTAAAGCTTTGCCCCAATTTATCCCTTCAACCCTGGGACTCAGACTCGATGATCTCCTCTAGCGCTCTAGGGCAATCCACTTAGATTGCATCTCGCCAGGAGATAGTGACAAGGAGTTTTTCCCAGTGTCTTGATCAACGGTTTGACAGATAAATATGTGGAGTTCTGTAGCTCAGTGGTTAGAGCACTTGCCTTGCAAGCGAGAGGACCTGAGTTCGATTCCCAGGCAGGGTGAAAAGTTGGGCAAGTTTCCTTACTCCACACGCCTCTGCTCACCGAGCAGTAACCAGGAACCCGGTTGTTAGTCGATTGGCGGAACAGTTTTCCGGGAGTAATAACCTCTTAAGAAAAATACATTAAAAAAATTAAACTTGGTCACTCAATCCACGACTGTTTGTGGGACGCTGCTGTGTGCAATTGGCTGCCGCATTTCGCCCACAAAATATACAGTCAATTCACTTAATAGTATATTCTGTGAAGCACTTTGAGATGACGTGACAAAGTGCTATATCAAATGCAAGGATTATTATTATAATTAGGTAATTCACTTCATGGCTGTTTGTGGGACATTGCTATGCACAAATTGTCTGTTCACCACAAGCACACAGTCACTAAACTTTATTACAATTTTGTTGTGAAGCACTTTGAGATGTTTCAGTGTTATCGACACTATCTGAGGAGGCGGATTTGTCAGGTAGCAAAACGGGTAGAGTTTTAAATTGACTGTGGAAGATGAGGCCATTCAGCCCATTGTGTCTGTGCTACATGCTGAGAACATTGCTGGGTGAATTGGATAAGAATCTATCTGAGGCCTCCTGTATTGAGGTCAAGAATTCATAAGATCTCAAGAGAGGTTCAGAGGAAAAAAATCCATCAGAGCATTTAGTTGCTTTTTAAATGAATCCAACAGCAACAACAAATTACATTTGTACAGCGCCTTTCACACTGGGAGGATGTCCCAAGCAACTGGACAGTTAAGGATTTAGGCCCGGAACGGCATTAGGAGAGGTGGAGGGCAGGGGGTAGGGGTGACCGAAGCCTCGGTTGAAGATGAAGGGCTTAAAATGTGCCTTGAAGGAGGCAAAGGGATTGTGAGATATGGAGAGTCCTGACCTCAACTATTCTTCCGAGAACCATGTTCCAGTCATAATTACCCTCTGGGTAAAGAAAAACTTCAAGGCGTGTGTCCTGAAATTGCTCTTTGTAAACTCTAAACCGGTGTCCTCTTGTTCTATTGTCTCATTATGGCCAAAAGTATTGTTCTGTTCGTTGCTCTGAGTTCAGAATCCCACTGAACTACCAATGTTGCTCCGTTTGCTGTTTTCAGGGCAGTTTTATTGTGTACCTCACTACAACTCCCACGCGCTGGGCTCGATGCAGTTTAACAAGCCAGAAGATCATCCTTCAGAAGAACTGGTACGACATACAATACTTCGGGCACTTGTAAATAACAACAACAAATTACATTTACACAGCGCCTTTCATATCGGGAGGACATCCCAAGGCGCTGGACAGTCAGGGATTTGGACCCGAGCTGGGGGTTCGGATCAGGAGGGGTGGAGGGCAGGGAGGGTAGGCGTAGGAGGGTGACCGAAGGCGAGGTAGAAGAGGAGGGTCTTAAGACGAGCCTTGAACGAGGCATGGTGATGGTACTGTGGGATGGAGTTCCAAAGGGTGGAGGCAGAGAAGCTGAAGGCCTGACCGCCGATGGTGGGACATAAGTCAGTGGTCAGGATTCGGTTTTTCTGCCTCAGTTCTGACACAGACCACACAAGTGGCACTTGCACATTTCAAATAAACTAAACCAAGGGATACACCTTAGATTCACGTTCAATCATCGTGGGTCTGCTTTACTGATGTGCTGACCAGATAACCAGTTTACTTTGTGGCTGTTAGTGGGACTTCCTTTGTGCACAAAATAGCTGGCGTGTTTATCACCAGTACCCAGTCACTACACTTGGCAGCATTGTGAAGAGCTTCAAGTCATTTTTGACATTATTGGCCCTGCGTCAGATTAAGGATTATTAGTAACTGAGCTCCTCGCAGCAGAGTCTGCGTCAAAGGGTTGTCTTCTAAAGTGGGGCGGATTCACGTCAGAGGAGACGCTATTACACAGTTACCAGGTTCAGGATCAGCGATTGTGTCAGAAGCAAACGAATGGCCGCCTTCCGGGTTGTCAGTTCACTACAACGTCACCTCCTCTGCGCTGTGCGTGCGGTCCATACGCAGCCAGCAGGAAATGACATCAGCAGTGCTTCCTGCGCATAGGGTGCATCTACAGCGCACAGGAAGTGACCTCAATCTAACAATAACCAAAGGCAGACGTTTTTCAGTGCAGGAAGCCGGGTTTACTGCTCGTGGAGTCCTGTAGCTCAGGGGTTAGAGCACTCGCCTCGCAAGCGAGAGGACCTGGGTTCGATTCCCGGGCGGGGAGAAACCTTGGGCGAGTTTCCTTACTCCACACACCTCTGTTTACAGCAGTAATTAGGAACCCGGCTGTTAGTCAATTGGCAAATCGCTTTTCGGGCGTAATAATCCCTCCAAAGAATTTGGTCACTCAAACCACGACTGTCTGTGGGACACATTTGCCTGTGCGCATTTGGCTGCTGCGTTTTTCCCACAAAATACAGTCAATTCAATTTACTATATATTCTGTGAAGCGCTTTGAGACGTCTCAACGACGTGATGGAGCGCTATATCAAATGCAAGGATTATTATTATTATTATTATTGTAGTGCGGGTCTACAGGATGCCAATGCTATGAATGAGGCAGTGAGGAATGAGGAAAGGCTATAACTCTTTCGAATCATTTATAAAACAAAGGGATCAGTGTTGATCAACTAATTGATGCCATGTCAATGGGTTATTTTGACAGGACTTTCTGGACGGAGTGCAGGAAATAGAGAGTGTTGCAGACAGGGTTCCTGGACAGCCTACAAAGGTAGTAGGTAAGCACTAAGTTACTGAAAACATTCACACGATGAGCATCAGTCAATCGGCCGATCCCAAAGGGAGAGAGGATAGTGCCACCTAGTGGGGGGTCAGAGGAAATGGTTCTACATTTCAAGCCAAAGTAGCGCGAGAATAATCCACACTGAGGTGCATCCTGTGATCACTGCAGCTGTTGGCACGTTATGGAAGTCCATCGATGGAGAGAACTTTCAGTCCCTCCCTGACTCCTTTCTCCCTCTCCTCTGGTTACCTCACACCCATTCCTTGTTCTCTGGGCAGAACATTCAGTGCCCAACATTTCACCCCCATTATAGAGTAACAAGTGGAACAAGCAAGATCAGGCTAAAGTTGGGGGCCAGTTATCCACGCGCCATTTATCCACATGTCCATTTATCCGCATCGTGCTGCAGTCCACTCAAGCAAATAGTTCCTCTTCAAGCATCTAATTCCCTCTGAAACTCATTGATGGATTCTACTTCAACCATGGTTTGTGGCAGAGTTTCCAGTTACTGATGGCGATGCAGATCAGGAGACCAAGGAACCAATTCGCCATGAGGAGCAAAGGGAAGATGGGATGGAAGGTAACGTGGGAGAGGAGGAAGGTGAAGATGGTGAGAAGGACAGCGAAGAGATCCAGCCATGTGGGAAAGGTCAGTCCAGCGGTTCAGTTTATTAATATGAGACCAGCGTTGCAGCCAGCTGGTTACGTGGTCTCTGAACTCATTTTACCATCATTGCTGGTCAAGGGACGTTAACATCTGACACCACAGCGATTGAATCCACAGACAAAGCTGCCCTCAGCCTGCTCCGCACTAAAACAATTAATGCTTTAAAAACTGCTGCTGTGTTTGCCCAACAGGATGTTTCTCTATTTGCCTCTGAAATCTTAGATACAACAGAGATGTGTATGATTGTATCTGGGTTTGTGTTTGTCAGTGTGTGTCTGGGTCTGTGTTTGTCAGTGTGTGTCTGGGTCTGTGTTTGTCAGTGTGTGTCTGGGTCTGTGTTTGTCAGTGTGTGTCTGGGTCTGTGTTTGTCAGTGTGGTCTGGGTCTGTGTTTGTCAGTGTGTGTCTGGGTCTGTGTGTGTTTGGGTGAGAGTGTGTCCATACCTGTGAGAGTGTATGTGTGTGTGTATGTATGTGAGAAAGGAATGTGTGTGTCTGGGTTTCTGTGTGAGTGTGTCTAGTGTCTGTGTGCGCGTGTGTATGTATGAGAGAGTGATCTGGGTCTGCGTGTGTGAGATAACCGTCAATCCTTTGGACGTGTTTCTCAGTTCTCGGGCCACATTTTATCGTTGCGGCTGTTTTACAATCAGCATGAAGTGGCCCCAGTGTTTGGCGAAGTGTCTTGTCCAGGTTTCGCTTCACTCTCAGCCCTGCCGCTGGCTTATCAATGTAACAGGATCTCTGCTCCTCACTTGTGCCAGGCACCTCACCCATGCCTCTGCTTCGACCTCTTGACTGATCCTTGAACACAGAGACGATGGGACTATGAACCTCCTTCTTTGTTCCTTTTAAAGCTGGGCTTGGTGCCAACCAGCCACTAATGGCTTGAGCGTTTTCTCCGTTGCTCGTGAGCTTTTGCACTGCTCTGCACTGTGGATCTCAGGTATCAAAGGCAAGAGTCAGCTAAGCACTGATACACAATCGAAATGTCTCAAAGCACTTAATAAATAATCCTTGCAGTTGATACAGCCCCTGATCACGTCTCCCAAGACGTCGCAAAGCGCTTCACAGGATATACTGTAAAGTGAATTGATCGTATATTTTGTGAGGAAAATGCAGCAGCCAATTGTGCACAGCAGCGTCCCACAAACAGCTGTGGAATGAGTGACCAAATTATCTTTTTTAAGAAGATAAAAATGATCCACGAATTGACAAACAACTGGGTGGGTTCCTACTTACTATTTGTTAAACAAGGCGTGTGGAGTAAGGAAACTTGCCAATGGTTTTGGCCTGCCCGGGAATTGAACCCAGGTCCTCTCATTTGCTCGGTGTGTGCTCTAACCACTGGGCTGCAGGACTCCACGTATTTAACAATAACAATAAAACGTTAAACTCGTTCTCGCTGCAAAGTACAGCTCACAGCTTTTATCTTGCTGCTTCACTTCTGTATGTTGTGTGACTAACAATATACGGTGCACATTCCATAACGCTTCTCTGTTTGACTGTTATCCCCTCCAGTTTTTGGTGCCAACCTGTACCTCGGCACTCTGGGGTGGAGTGAGCAGAGTGCGTGTGTCCCTCTGCTCCACACCAGACCAACAGAAACCATTGCAAACCGGTTGCTCTCTGCGGTTAGGGTTGTATTCTCTCCTTGTGGGTTTCCATGACCAAGAAAAAAAAGATTGTTTGAGCCGTCATCACCAGCTCTGAACAATCACATTTGCTGATCTATAAACAAAAGGCAAAATACTGCAGATGCTGGAAATCTGAAATAAAAACCGGTGTGACTGGGAACACTCAGGAGGTCAGGCAGCATCTATGGAGAGAGGAACGTGGGTTAACGTTTCATGTCCATGACCTTTTGTCAGAAGTAGGGGATGTTGGAAGGGAGCGATTTTTTTTTTAGAAGGACAAACAGAGAAGGGGGCGGGAAAAGAAAGACAAAGGATAAAATTGGGTGGAAAACAGGAGATGATGAGGTCGCATTTCACATTTCTAATCTCTCACCCATTCCCTCAGTCCATTGACCTGAACCCCGACGGATTCATTAATGTTGATGAGTGTGTGAGAGATTAGACGTGTGATTGTAGTGCAGGGTGAGCGATCCCTACCCCATGGACCATAGCTCTGATTACTGCGGCAGTTGAGAGTGACACTGCAGAGATAGGCACATCCTGATCACAGGGATGAAGAATTCACAACAATCGAGAAGAACCTTCTTCATCAACCGAGGAATGGACGTGGGTTTAGCTCCTCCATCCATATGTTTAAGTCACTAACGCAGGGACCCCCTGGGGCATATGGCAGTGGTACTAACATCATCTCACCTTCCTCTGTAGGACTCCAGACAGTGGTGGAAGATAATGGTTCCCCGTTATCTGGCAGCAGCATTGAGGAGATCCCTGAACCTGCTGTGGGCAGCCCAGCTGCTCTGGATTTGCCTGTACTTTCTGATGAGATCGCAGGGTCCTTATCTGGTGATTCGGTCAGGCTCTCCCATCCTGATGTCACCAGGACTTTAGAGCAGACAGATAGGACCAGCGAGGAAGGACCTGGGGTAAACAGGCATCTGACTGTGCTGCCCGTAGTGAGGGTTGACCAACTGGCCCCTGAAGGGAGCAGTGATCACACAGAGAGCAAGGAGAGCATCTCTCTTCCAAGTCAACTCTCTTTGCCCAGTTCCCAACCCCAAATAATCTCGGAAGAGAAGAGCCGAGGGGATGTGGTGGTCAGTGGTAACGGGAGCCAAACTCCCAGGAAGAAACTGGCACTTAGTTCAACTGTGAAGCACAAATTAGCCAGACTTCACACCAGCTCAGAGTCAGATACTGAAACTCAGGAGGATGAAATGCAGTCAGAGGACAACTCTGACAACAGGGGACTGTCTGAGAGTGGGGGGCTCCTTGTGCCTGACTCTGCTGTTTTCAAAGGCTCGGAGCCTGAGGACACAGAGCAAGAGTGCCAGGACGATTCCTCACCGGTGCTGAGGGCAACACACAGGAGCAGCATCAATGAGCAAGCGCGGAAAAGTCTGGTTTACTGGAACATGCCATGCTCAGACATAGAGGAAGATGCAGACAACGGTGACCCAGAACCCAGGCCGTCCTCACAGCAACCCATCCAAACCCAGATCACCCAGGAGAAAACTCCGCAGGAGAAAGGTTCAGCTCCCGATGCCTCGAGTAAACCAAAGTTCAGGCTCCCTTCGTTCAACGTGTTTTCCCGTTTATCACGAAGGCAGAAAACAAGCAAAGACAATGAACGCTCCTCAGTTCAGACAGCGAAGCCTGACCCACCCACCGCACAGACACCTCCCTCGCCTCAGAGGCAAGGTAAGGGCTCAAGACTGACAGCATTTTCTAGTTTGTACATTAGGAATGAGATGACCAACTAGTGACTGTAGGAGTCCTGCAGTATAGTGGTCAGCGCACTCGCCTCGCAAGTGAGAGGACCCAGGTTCGATTCCTGGGCAGGTCGAAACCATAGGCAAGTTTCCTTACTCCACAAAGTTCTGTTTACCAGCAGTAAGCATGAACCCAGTTGTTAGTGGATTGGAGGATCGCCTTCCAGGGGAATAATCCCGTAAAAAAATGATCACTGAATCCATGCCTGTTTGTGAGACGCTGCTGTGCGCAATTGGCTGTTGCGTTTTACCCACAAAATATATAGTCAATCCACTTTACAGTATATTCTGTGAAGCCCTTTGAGACGTCTCAACAACGTGATAAGGCGCGATATCAAATGCAAGGATTATTATTATCTCCTGCTTAGAAAAAGGTAAATGGAGTCTCCTCAGAGATAAGCTCCAACATGGAATGTCAGAATTGAGTTATTCCTCTGTGGTGGTCTCAGTGGTCCGGTTCCTGTACTCCAGGGTATTGCCGATAACAGCATAGCTCATCAGCAGAACTTGGAGGGGCAGAATGGGATCAGGGTTTCTTCCTATTCAGCTCCTGCAAGTCAAAGCCCTAACGGCTAGGGTGGTCCTAGCGAGACAAACAGCAGGAACGCTTGCCAGGCAGTGCTCTCAGTGACAAGCCATGTTGTTTTAGCTGGTTAGATTCCAGCAGTATCAGAACTCCATTCCTCCCCAAGCTTTGGGATGTCGCTAACCTGCATCTAATGCTTTCCGGAATTAGGTAAGCAGGATGTTTCCCTCCCGGGAGAGAGTGCACATTCCATTCCAAACACAGGGAAATTTCCACATATGTAGGTGGCGTACATATATAGAACTCTTAAGCACGGTGATGGGTTTCCACATGTGTCAGAAGGCAGAAAACAATATATAGTTTGGGACACAACATGTCAAGCAACTGCCAGGATGGTGGAAGGCAAACTAGATGGACCTTGGTCTTCTTTGGCCTAGCAAATTCTTATGTCCTTATGTGATATAAAAAGGGTGACAGACGTACGTATTTTGTATTACTGCATCACAGTATATTCTGTGAAGCGCTTTGAGACGTCTCGAAGACGTGATAAGGCTCTATAACAAATGGAAGGATTATTATTTATTATTGTTGCTTACGACAACCCAGCTTGTAAATTATGACTGAGTTTAATTCAGTCTTTGGATGGTGGGGAGGAGACAAGGCTGAGACAGATTGACCAGACACATAAATGTTTTCAGCACAGGTACTGCCTTGAGTTGGGGGAATGGGGGAACGGACTATTTTCCTTTAAACACTGAAGGTGTGTTGTTATATGTGTGGCCTGTGAGGGCTCAGTTGTCTTTGTGTCAGATTATTGGTGGGTTCAAGCCCCACGCAGGGCCTCTGAACTCCAGTGCATTGTCGTTCGGGTGAGATCTTAAGCCGAGGTCCCGTCTGCCTGTCCAGGTGGACATTAAAGATCCTATGGCACTATTTGAAAAGAGGAGGGAGTTTCTCCAAGTCTCCTGGCCAACAATCTCCCGAATCAAACAACTTAATGGCTGTTTGTGGGACTTTGCTGTGTGCAAAATTGGCTGCCGTGTTAGCCTTCAAAACTACATTTCATATTAAATTTCTGTAAAGAACTTTGCGATGTTTCGATGATATCAAACAATCTATTATTATTATATTTTAAGCGACAACTCAGCTTATTGACTGCCACCAATTCATTTCCTGCTTTCAACTGATGGGAATTGGAATCAAATGGTTAAATATCGTCCACAATCTGTCCTCACTCAGACTGTCCCTGTGCTCCCATTCGGAGTCTGTAAAGTGATTTGAGAGACTTGGGATCTTATGAAATGGATGAGGAAGCAGCTTTGTGTGCCAATGGGACACTCAGTAAATCTCTCCCGAGTCCCACTCTGTTCGGTGTGATCTCTGGGAGTCCCACATTCTCTATTCCACGGCAGCTATTCATTGCTCTGCATTGGCTGTGGTGTATTCTGTTGGATTTTTGCTGACAAATACGCAAATACACTTGACAGCAATTCCCTGCAAAGCACTTTGAGAAGTTTCATTGGTACAGGTCAGTAGCCAGCGTAATGAACCGGGTTCGATTCCCGGGCGGGGCGAAACCTTAATCTCCTTAACCCCCACATCTCTGTTTACCTCGCAGTAAATAAGAACCCAGTTGTTCGTCGATTGGCGGATGGATCACTTTGCGGAGTTAATAATCCCTCAAAAAAAACCTCACTCAATCCAGGACTTTTTGTGGGACACTACTGTGCGCAATTGGCTGACACATTTCACCCACAAAACACAGTCAGTTCACTTTACAATATATTCTGTAAAACACTTTGAGACGTCCCAACAACGTGATAAGGCGCTATAATCAAGTACAAAGATTATTGTTACACAGCCCACTTACCCTCCAAGTGCACACCACATCTCCCGCCCCCACCACACTCCTGGAGCTGAGGAGACGTGTCTGTATGTTTCTATACACTGGGTTTTGCCCTTATAACAGCAGAGAGCAGGTTAGCAGTTGGACTGTGACGTGTCTTTTTTTTCCATCCAGTAAGTTTCCCCAGGATTGACGACAACGAATCAGGGGAGGAAGATGAGGAGGAGATTGATCTGTCTAGTGATGAAGATACGGAGTACATCACTGAGCAACCAATCAAAGCCGTGAGTAACAGGAGGCCAACTATGCACTAAATAGAAATCAAGAACTCTCTCACCCGTTCTCTGTCCCAAATCATTGAAATTACAGAATCATAGAATTAAAGAATTTCGCAGCACAGAAAGGCCATCCATCCCATTGTGCCTGTGTCGGATTTTTGAAAGAGCTACTAACTAGACCTCTCCCTTACTCTTACTCCATAGCGCTGCAAATTCTTCCTTTTTACGTACCCAGCTGATACTCTTTTGAAGCTACTATCGAATTTGCTTCCACCCGACCTTGCAGGCAGTGCGTTCCAGACTGAAACAACTCTCTCTAAAAAACAATTAAATCTGTGTCCTCTGGTTACAGACCTGCCCACCGGAGGGAAGTTTCAAAACTCTATCAAAACCCCTTATATTTGAACACTTCTATTACATTTCCCCTCAACATTCTCTGCTCTAAGGAGAATAATCTCAACCTCTCTAGCCTCTCCACATAATTGTAACCCCTGATCTCTTGTGTCATTCTTGTAAATCTTCTCTGCACCCTCTCCCGTCATTTTGCTATTTAATCAAAAGGTTGTGGGTTTCAGTCTCACGGTGGAGATTTCGAACTCACAATCCAGCAGGCAGGTTTCCTTACTCCACACGCCTCTGTTTAACTAGCAGCAAGTAGGAGCCCGGTCATTAGTTGATTGGTGGATCACTTTCCGGGGGTAATAATCCCATCAAAAAATTAATAATAATAATAATTTGGTCACTCAATCCATGACTGTTTATGGGACACTGCTGTACACAGTTCACTGCCACATTTCACCCGTAAAAATACACAGTCAATTCAGTTTATAGTGAAGCCCTTTGAGACATCTCGAAGGCGTGATAAGGCGCTAAATCAAATGCAAGGATTATTATTTTTATTAATAATAATTACTTGGAGATGTTTCAGCGACAACCAGATAAAGACAGCCTGCAGGTTCTGGAAATCTGAAAGGAACCCTCAGCAGGTCAGGCAGCATCCATGGAGAGAGGAAAGTGAGTTAATGTTTCAGGTCAATGACCATTCCTCAGAACTTGAGAATGTTGGAAGGGAGAGGTTTATAAGGCCAAACGGAGAGGGGGTGTGGGAAAAGAAGACTAAGGAAAAAAATAGGTGGAGGACAGGAGATGATGAGATCAGAGGTGTTGATGGTGCAAGACAAAAGGAGGCAATAGTGGGATATGTGTCTGAGACCCAGTTGAGTAAAGGTGACTTGATTCTGTGTCACAGAAACTGACGCCAGAAGAGATAGCTGAACGTTTGACCACGTGGCGGCTGAATGCCTACCAGCGGCGTGCTAAGGAAGAGGAGATCGCTCGCTTCGCCAAAGCACAGGTAACGTACAGGCCAATGTCTTAGGAGGGTGGGGATTCACACCCTGAAAACAAACTTATAAGAGCATAAGAAATGCTGGACGAAAAAAGATCAAGGGCCATGCTAGTTTGCTTTCCACCCTTCCTGGCGGTCGCTTGCAATATGTCCCGAATTACATATGTACTGTATCCTTACACCAAGACTTTTAAAGGTTTATTTGGATAAGAAAGCTCTTGCTGTTTACAGCCGTCTTCTCCAGACTGAGAAAGCGGGGACAGGGTTTGGGTCATAGATGTTAGGTCAGGGTATCAAGGGATGTGGGCAAGGGCGGGTAATTGGTGTTGAGGTACAGATCAGCTCTGCTCTTACAGAATGGCAGAACAGGCTCAAGGTCCTGAATGGCCTACTCCTGTCCCTATGACTTTCCCACCTCTCTCTCTCTCTGGCCTCCAGCTCATTCATTAACTTAGGGCTGGAACTTCAAACAGCCCTGACTGTAGACCAGCCCTTGTTGACTACAATCAATGAGGCACCTTTTTTTTAAACAAGTGTAAAAAACACACAACGCTCATTCACACATAAGTGGAGTGTAACTATCCACAGAAAGCAGGGACAGGGTTTATCCCTCTGTCGCAGATGTATATAGGTTCCATTGTCCAGTTGACATACAGTGGGATGCACATGGACTCTACATCACTGACAAGTGCTCTGGGACGCTCCCCCGTGTAAAGGGTGCTATATAAATGCAAGTTGTTGTTGTTGCTCTCAGCGACTGGGCTGAGTTCCCAGCAGGTGCTGACCCTGTTCCCCGTGACCCACAGAGCATCCAGAGGCGTTTGACGGAGATCGAGCAGATGTTCCACGAGTTGGAGGAGCGAGGAGTGCTCCTGGAGGAGGAGATACGCATGAGCAAAGGTACCAACACCAAACGCTCAGCATCTCGGTGTCTCCGAGTCAAGACAGTCACTACAGCAGAGGTGGGGGGAGTGCTGAATCGTCAGAGGTCTCGTCTGTGCCTGTTCAGGTGGATGGTACTAGATCCCAGAGCACTAGTCAGGAAGAAACGTGACTTTCTCCTGGTGGTCTAGCCAACAATCCTCCTGAATAAAATCAGTCACTCACTTCACGGCCGTCTGTGGGACGTTGCTATCCGCAAATTAGCTGCAGCCTCTGCCCACAAAATACACAGTCACCACACTTTACAGTAAACCCTGTGAAGTGCTTTGAGACATCTTCCTGATGTGGAAGGCACTGTAACAAATGCAAGGAGATACCTTGCCGTTCCCTCCGGTCAGTAGGCTCCGGCCTGTTTCACGTCCCCCACCCAACCCACCCCACCATCGGCGGTCAGGCCTTCAGCCTTTCTGCCTTCACCCTTTGGAACTCCATCCCACAGTCCCTTCACCTCGCTCCCTCCCTTGCCTCCTTCAAGGCCTGTCTCAAGACCCTCCTCTTCGACCGAGCCTTCGGTCACCCTCCTACCCCTATCCTCCCTGTCCTCCACCCCTCTTGATCCTAGCCCCCAGCTCGGGTCCAAATCTCTGACTATCCAGCGCCTTGGGACGTCCTCCCGTTGTGAAAGGTGAGGTGTAAATGTCATTTGTTGTTATATAAAAGCAAGTTGTTGTTGTTGGGGAATGCCCCGCCATGTGCAGTGGTTAAGGGAGAATCCATATTAGCTTTGTGTGTGTGTGACAGGCTCCACTGTACCCAGACCTCGCTGCTTCCTGACACATCAAATTCCTCCTTGCCTCGGCCGCTGAGGAAAATTCTGGGAATTAATAGGAAATTTTTGAAATCTTGAAATCTTAACTCTGAATAACTCAACCTTGGCTTATCACTTAATAATAATAATCCTTGCATTCGATATAGCGCCTTATCATGTCTTCGAGACGTCTCAAAGCGCTTCACAGGATACACTGTAAAGTGTATACTTTGTGGGTGAAACGGCATCGCAACCGTAACGCAGCTATTTGAGAAGGGTGGGAGACAAAAAATGGGGACCTATAGACCAATTAGTCTGACTTCGAAGGTAGGGAAAATTCGAGTCCTTAATTAGCGACGTCGTCGTGGGGCACTTAAAAAATCATAACATGATCAGGCAGAATCAACATGGCTTTGCGAAAGAGAAATCATGTTTAACAAATCGTATAGAGTTTTTTGAGGATGTAACTAGCAGGTTAGAGAGGGGGGAACCAGTAGATGTGGCGTATTTGGATTTCCAGAAGGCATTCGACAAGGTGCCATATCGAAAGCTGTTGCATAGGATTAGAGCCCATGGAATTAAAGACAATATATTAGCGTAGATTGGAGAGTGGCAAACAGGAAGAAAACAGAGAGTAGGGATAAACGGGTCCTTCTCAGATTGGCAGGATGTGACTAGTGGAGTGCCACAAGGATCAGTGCTTGGCCCTCAACTATTCACAGTCTATATCAATGATTTAGATGAGGAAATAGAACTTAACATATCTAAATTCGCGGACGATATGAAGATAGGTGGGAGAGTAAGCAGTGAGGGTGACACACAAAGAATGCAAAGGGAAATAGACAGGCGAGGTGAGTGGGTAAGAAGGTGGCAGATGGAGTATAACGTGGGGAAGTGTGAAGTTATTCACCTAGGTAGTAAAAATAGAAAAGCAGATTATTTTCGAGAGGGGGAGAGATTAGATAGTGTTAGTGTTCAGAGGGATTTGGGTGTCCTTGTACACCAGTCTCAAAAGGTTAGTATGCAGGTACAGCAGCAACAAGAAAGGCTAATGCCATGTTGGCGTTCATTGCAAAAGGGTTAGAGTACAAGAGTAGGGAAGTCCTGTAGCTCAGTGGTTAGAGCACTCGCTTTGCAAGCAAGAGACCCGAGTTCAATTCCAGGCAGAGGGCCAAACCTTGGCCAAGTTTCCTTACTCCACACAGAGCTTATTAATAATCCCTCCAAAACCCAAAACAATAATAAATTGGTCATTTTCAATCTACGACTGTTTGTGGGACATTGCTGTGTGTAATTGGCTGCCGCGTTCGCCCACAAATATACAGTCAATTCACTTTACACGTCCTCCAGACGTGAAAAGCGCTATATCAAATGCAAGGATTATTATTATTATTATTAAGTCTTGCTGGAGTTGTATAAGGCCTTGGTGAGACCACACGTAGAATATTGTGTGCAGTTTTGGTCTCCTTATTTAAGAAAGGACATACTCACCTTAGAGGGGGTGCATTGTAGATTCACTAGGTTGGTTCCTGGGATGAGAGGTTTGACCTATGAGGAGAGGTTGAGTAAACTGGACCTATATTCTCTAGAATATAGAAGAATTAAAGGTGATCGTACAGAAACCTACAAGACTCTTAAGGGTCTTGACAGGATTGGCAGGATGTCGTGCGACTGTTTTTCCTGGTGGGAGAATCTAAAACTAAGGATCGAGATTAAGGGTCAGCCTTTTCGAACCAAGTTGCGGATACATTTCTTCACTCAGAGGGTAATGAATTTGTGGAATTCTCTGCCTCAGAGGCTGTAGATGTTCAGTCATTGAACATATCCAAGACTGATCTTGATAGATTTATAAAGAATAGAGGGATTAAGGGATTATGGGGATAGGGCAGGTAAATGGAATTAGGTTGGAAGATCAGCCATGATCTTATTAAATGGCGGGGCAGGCTTGAGGGGCCAAGTGGCCTACTCCTGCTCCTACATCTTATGGTCTTATTAAGTTTTCATGCTGTCAATATCCCGGCCGCTTACCATATAAACTATTAAATGAGGATCATCATTGCTTTACTCGTTATTGCTACGGTCTTCTTCCACTCCTACACCCTCTGCTCCACCATCTCAGGCCTGTCTCCGTGTCCCTCATGCTTCCTGCCCTGACATCATAGTCGAGCTTTCAGCCACTATACCCCGAAACTCTTCCTCTATCCCTCCGCCTTCCTTCCCCATCTTCAGCTCGTGCTTGAAGACCTTCCTCTTCGACAGTGCCTACGGTCACCTCCCTCCCTGGCTCGGTGTCGTGCTCCACCACTGTCAAGCGCTCTGGGGTGCTACCCTGTGTGGGGGGGGGGGGGGGCTACGTAAATGCAAGTTGTTGTAACTCCAGGTCTCTCTCTCTCACAGGGGAACAGTCAATCTGATGCAGAGTTGGATGCAGTTGATTCAAAAGAAGAACGATCTGCTGAACGAGGAGTCTGAGCTGATGATAAAGTAAGGATAGACACCCCATCCCACTGAGAGCTCGTTCATTAACCCTTTCAACCCTTTGCCCTCTCTTTCAGATGAGACGTTAAACTGAGGTCCCGTCTGCCTGTGCAGTTGGATGGTAAAGATCTCAATGGCGCTATTTGAAAAGAGAAGGGAGTTGTTCTCTCTCTCTGTTTCCTGGCCAACAATCCCCCAAATAAAATCTGACTACCCATTGCATTGCTGTTTGTGGGGGGTTTGTGCGCAAACTGGCTGCCGGGTTTCCCCCACAAAATACACAGTTACTCCACTTTACGTATATCCTGTGAAGCGCTTTGAGACATTCCTCCAGGGTGATAAGTTGCTGTATCAAATGCAAGGATTATTATTCTTATTCACAGCTCAGGTCTGGGAGACAGTGAATCAGTGGAATATGCCAAACACTTGGCTTAACACAGCTGAAATATAGCAGAGAGTGAAACTGAGCCTTTGTGTAACAATTATAAATGAATGTGTGCAACAGAGAATTAGAATCGAGTCTGAACTGAGGGGGTGTCTCACAGTCTCCAAATTCCCTGCTCTCAACCCCCACCACACTCCATTCCCCACCCGCGCCCCACCACCACCAACACTAACACTGTATAAAATCTCAGTGACACTCAGCTGAGCAGCAGCTGTGTGTGTGTGTCGGTAGTGTGAGTGTATGTAAGTGTGTGTAAGAGGGTGTTAAACCTGCGGCAATAGTCTGGTGTGATCAGATAGATCTAACACTGTCCGTGTTGCCTTTGTCTCAGTGGCCGTGAGCTGGAGCTGGAGGATAGGAAGAGCAGACTGGAGCAGGAGCTGAGGAAGTACATGAACATGGACAGTAAGTGGCAGCTCTCGGCACATCTCACTACTTCCTGGCTCAGTGTTTACACTGTTCTGTTCTGTGGAACAAATGCCCAGCTGATGTTAGAGTCCGCCAACACTGTAGTCCTAGAGTCCTGTACCTTAGTGGTTAGAGCGATCGCCTTGTAAGCGAGAGGACCTTGGTTCGATTCCTGGGCAGGGTGAAACGTTGCAAGTTTTCTTACTCCACACAGCTCTGTTCACCCACCAGTAAGTAGGAACCCTGATGTTAGTCGATTGGCGATCCAGGGGTAATAATCCCTTAAAAAAATTGTTTGGTCACTCAATTCACGCCTCCTTGTGGGACACTGCTGTGCGCAATTGGCTGCCGAGTTTCTCCCACAAAATACACAGTCAATTCGCTGTGAAGCGCTTTGAGATGTCTCAAAGACGTGATGAAGCGCTGTATCAAATGAATGGACTATTATTATTATAAATACAAGTTATTGTTGTTTTGGAGCAAGGTAAAGCTTCCTGTACCTCTTGTTGCAGAATTGTTGAAGACAAATGAGGACCGGGTGAACGAGGACAAGCTTTACAATGAGATGATCAACGTGGTGAAGATGAGAGACGCTCTTGTGAGCTTCCTGGAGCAACAGAGGGTCCAACAGCAAGATCAAGGTGTGCTGCTGCTGCCAGGAGCCACCGCCAGAGACCTGACCAACAGCCCCAGCATCAGCTGGACCTGAGCCATACTCTTCCTTCCCCCTCGGCCCCTTCCCCCTCCAGGATGTCAACCCCTGTGGAGACTTATGTAAATTCAAAAACTTCCCCACGTTTTCATTTTGTTTTCATTGATGCAAGGACAAGAAGAGGGAGGACATGGGCTCAGGAGTGTCAACAATAAGTAATAACTCAACAAGCTTAGGGGGCCCTTCAGTCTTGAGAGAAGGCGATTCAGAGGGGAACCTGGTCAAAGTGGAACAATATTTCAAATGGGATTGGAAAAGTAAGCCCAGAAACGAGTTTAGGATGTGGTACAAGAAGAGGACATAGGTTTAGAGTTTAAAGCGCTATTTCAGAATAGACACCAGGAAGGTTTTGTTGTGCAGAGGGTAATCAACTAGGGGTCACCAGACAAGGTGGTTGTGGGCAGGACACTGGACTCGTTTAAACAGTGGCTAGGGTGGGGGAGGTGCGGGTGGGTGAAGGTAGGGTGGGTTCTGGAGGGACGAGATCAGTTGGGCCACAAGTCTTTCTTCATCCAGACCAGTCTTGATCTTGTGAAGTATTTCTTTACCCAGAGGTGGAAAGGGGGAAAAAACAGGCACTGGACTCATTCAAGAAACAGTTTGATCCTAAGTGGGAGGAAGGAAGAGGGTGTTCTGAAGGATGAGATCAAATAGATTCTTCACCTGACCTCAAATGATCTAATCTCCTGGGCCTATCTGTAATATTAGTAATAATAATCCTTGCGTTTGATATAGCACTTTATCGCGTCTTCGAGACGTCTCAAATCGCTTCAGAATATACTATAAAGTGAACTGATTGTATATTTTGCAGCTAATTAAATGACAGGAATACTATTTACCCTCACAGAAAAGCTTGCGGTTCACGAGGTGCTAAAGCCTCTGCCATAAAAATCGCTTCACAACACAAGCAGAAAGCCTTTTTAGCAATAAGCCAGCCCCAGCGAGGACAGCTCTCAATCTTTACCCAGTGTGTCTCAGGGAAGAGAGCTGAATCCTACATGGAGCAAGTTCGGACACTGTATTCTGCCAATCTCGTGGTCAACTGATGAAATACATTTCATGTTATTGTAGAGAAAAATTGTGCATTTCAGCCTTTTTCCTGGTGAATAAAGAGTTTGGTCGACAAACACTGCAGTCATTGCTTTCGTGGGCTAAGGAGCAAAATTGTAGCATTTAAGTAATTAGGGAAACACCATGGAATATGGCACAGATATGCAGAGTTAAAGATCACACACTGATTGCTAACAAGGGCCATAGATATTTGATGACTGCGCTTTCAGCCACTACACACCAACTCTTCCCCTATCCCCCTGCATTACCCCTTCTTTCCCCATCTTCACATAGTGCTTGAAGACCTTAATAATAATATTAATAATCCTTGCATTTGATATAGCACTTTTCATGTCTTCTCGACGTCTCAAAGCGCTTCACAGAATATACTGTAAAGTGAATTGTCCATATATTTGTGGGCGAAATGCGGCAGCCAATTGCGTACAGCAGTGTCCCACAGACAGTCGTGGATTGAAAAATGACCAATTTATCATTGTTTTGGAGGGATTATTATTCCTCTTCGACCATGCCTACAGTCACTTCCCCCCAGCTTGGCACTGTACTCCACCACTGTCAAGCGCTCTGAGTGCTGCCCTGTGTAAGGACGCCATATAAATGCAAGTCGAATTTGGGGAAATCAGGGACCAGAGACTCTAAATGACACGGTATCAGCCTGGGAGACCATTTTGTCAAGGACTTGCAGAAATTCTTGAGAAAAGAGAATTCTCTTTTGAGAAAATATACCATTAATGTGGAGGCTCATTTTTGCCGTTTTAACAAATAAGGAAAAAAAAACGAATGAGTGACTTTAAATTTAGTTTCACAAATCTGCACAATCTTTAGTTTTGAAATAAAATAATAATATTCCTTGCATTTGACATAGCACCTTATCACGTCTTCGAGACGTCACAAAGCGCGTTACAGAATAGACCGTATATTTTGTGGGCGAAACGCGGCAGCCAATTGCGCACAGCAATAATAATAATTATTTTTTGAAGGGATTATAACCCCTGGAAAAGCAATCCGCCAATCAACGAACAACCAGGTTACTACTTACTGTTGGGTAAACAGAGGCGTGTGGAGTAAGAAAACTTGCCCAACGTTTTGCCCTGCTCGAGAATCGAACCCTGGTCCCCTCACTTATGAGGCGAGTGCTCTAACCACTAAGCTACAGGACTCCACTTAAATGGGCTCACAGGCTGAGTGCAGGCAGAAGGAACAGGCCCTTGAGACAGAATTCAAGGATCTGTGCCCTGATCAGCTCCATCGGTGATCAATCCTGCAGCACATTGGTTGGGAGATGCTGGGATCACTCACTTGCTTCCTATAAACCACAATCCAATTTAGACCTCTCCTGGTTTAAATAACCCGAATGCTCAAGAATTGTTATATTGTTTTTATCCACAGAAACACGGACAGTCAAGAATTTGGACTTGAGCTGATGGTTGGGATTAGGGCGGGTGGGTGGGTGGAGGGTGACCGAAGGTGCAGTCGAAGAGGGTCTTGAGACGTGCCTTGAAGGAGGCGAGGGAGGGAGCGAGGCGAAGGGACTGGGGTGGAGTTCCAAAGGGTGGGGAGAGAGGTTGAAGGCTTGACCGCCGATGGTGGGGCGGGGCAGGTCGTGCAGGAGACATGGCGCGGGCCTTAGCCCGCTGAGCGGAGGGAGCGGACAGGTTGATATGGTGCAGGGTTCAGAGGTCATCGCCAGTGCGGATTTAGGGCGCTGCTCAGCTGGCCTGCCATTCCGCACATCCACAAACCAGCTAAAGACCCGAGTGATCTCAGTGATGAGGAGACTATTCTTTACCAAGTGACTTTCGCACAGCAAAGCAAATCCAGGTATCTCTCGTGTAAATAAATCAGTGATTAAAAAAGACTTGAATAATTTGCCATCAATCCAGGTCCCAAATGATGTGCGTGAACCAGAGTGGCGTCTGAATATCTGAACAAAAATAAATGCCACGACTTGTTTGGAGTCTCTGCCTCTGTCATTTGTGCCTACAGCTGCCTCTGAATATGAACCGGGTGTGCAAGGTATCCTAATGATCCAAGATACTAACTCACATGAAGGGCGCTATATAAATGTGCATTGTTGTGTTTACTGTGTATGGGACGGTGGGGGGGTTGGGAGGGTGGGGGGGTTGGGAGGGTCGGGGGGTTGGGGGCGGGTAGGTCACAATGCTAACACTTTGCACTCCGAAGGATTTTCTGGCCAAAAGGTGCAGTTCGACCAACATCTACAAGCTGTTGATTTGAAAGGCATCTGGTAGTCAGCCTGGTTTAAAGTACTCAGACTCAACAACAAACAAATTACATTTATATAGCGCCTTTCATGTCGGGACAGTTAAAAGATTTGGACCTGGGCAGGGACGGGAGGGTCGGGATCCGGAGGGGTGGAGGGTAGGGTATGAGGATGGCCAAAGGCGCAGTCAAAGAGGAGGATCTTGAGATGTGCCTTGAAGGAGGCGAGGGAGGGAGCTACGATCAGTCTTTACTCAGAGGATTAATTGATAAAACTCAGCAATGTCACCAGGCCCCAAATTCTAGCGAGACTCAGTCCATAAAGACAATTTTCAATTCACATTTAAGATCACGCAAAATTGTAGAAAATCCTTAAATTCAGTCTCGATTCGGAAGCCAGTTTTCCCGCAGTTCTTCAAGAAAAAATCTTTGCACTTGATAACACCCATCACGAGAAAACCTCTGAAAGTGAATTTGCAGTAACTCTTCCAAATTAACTTTAATTTTGAACAGAACAACTCACTTTGTTGGCTGGACTGAAGCAAGACTGAGGTGAACAGATATTTGTTAGGTTAGGGTATCAAGGGATATGGGGCAAAGGTGGGTAATTGGAGTTGAGGTACAGATCAGCCATGATCCTATAAAATGGCAGAACAGGCTTGAGGGACTGAATGGCCTACTCCTCTTCCTATAACCCCACAAAGAGGATGGAGGGTGAGATTGGCTCAGGGTAGTTTAGAGATAGACAACGCGTGCAACTGTTTGATCTTTGCTCCCATCCATGGATGTCTCTGCTGAGTTTAGTCAGTGGCAGACTCACGGATCAATTTGTCTACAATCAGCAGGAATTAAAACACAGAAGATCCTTTTGCAAGCTGCAGAATAAGTTATTGTGGCAACAGGAATGAATTGTGAACCGTAACAATGCGAGCAGCAAGGTACGAAGGAATGTCTCCTTCTACATCGTCCCTGAGACGACAACCATCTCTTTAAGACAGAAGCAAGTTAAACTGTGTCACTGTATTACATACAAACACACAGCAACCTCTCGAGTGATCGGGAAATAAAAACAATTAAAAGTATTCAATCTGGAATTTTCCTGCAATTTCGACAGCTTCGCACACTGATTGACAACCCATTATTCTTACTTAGTAAATTACCCTGGTTCATAAACCCTTTAATCCAAATGTTGCTGTCATACATTAGCTTCCGCGAGTGCCTATATACCGACATTCACCTTCATTTCTGAACAATTATATTTTGAAGTGCTTCAAGTTTACTTTGGTGTCAAAGATTTGTGTATAGATGAAAGTTGTTGTCAACTGTAGCAAAAGTGTTGTGTTTTGGCAGAGCAGGCCTGTTCGAGAATAAATGGCTTGAGCTCAATAACTTTACACTAGTTACCCCAGGTTTTACTGTTGGTGGTGCTGTGGGTTTCTGAGTGGGTCAGGGCTGGGCTGTGCTTCTGCCATGGGTTGGGGCTCAGAGGATGGATGAAATCAGACGAATACAGGGTGAATCAGAAGTCCTTACTCACAGGTCTGTGTGAGATGTACAAACTGCAGGCCATGTAGACATTTACATATCAACTCGGTGACAAAACTTTCAGGAACATGATGAAAGATATCTCTTGTAAAAGCTGCACACTCTAACAATATAGTCTTCTTTTAAAAAAACAATTAAAAACTATAAGGACGTCTGATTCACCCTGTATAAAATCTCACAACCAACAGCACTGACAGACAGAATAATAGTAATAATAATAATACTAGGGGGCAATTCACCTTTGAATCTGTCCATTTCCGGAGGGTGGGAAGGTTTAAGAAATGTAGTGCTTTGACATGAATGAATATAAATTGTATAAGGTATTTTTAAACAAGAACGTTTATCTAATGAGAGGGATGGCTTGGAGCAGCCAAAGAAAGAGCAAAAAAAAGATAATATTTAATAAGGAAAGATATATATATATAACAACTGTCACTTAGTGGAAGATTAAATGAGGTAGATTGTAGGAGTGACACAGTAAGTACTGTAAAACTCCTCAGGTGGAAACAAACCAAACTGAAAAAAGGTAATTGGTGACAATTTGTAAAAACATATTGAACAGAGGATAAAAGAGCTTAAGATAACCAGAATTATAATTTAGTAAAAGATATGCTGTGGCAAAAGGTGAAAAGGAAAGGGACTTATAGGAAGATTGATAAAGTTATAAAAAAAAATAATAATTTGGTCACTAAATCCATGACTGTTTGTAGGACACTGCTGTGCGCAATTGGCTGCCACATTTCGCCTACAAAATAAAGCCAATTCAATTTACGGTGTATTCCGTGAAGCGCATTGAGACGTTTCGAAGACATGATAAGGTGCTATATCAAATGCAAGTATTATTATAACAGAAGCAATACCCAGATTAGCCACTTTCTCCCGCAGTTTAACACATTGGCTGTTGGTTACTATACATGGGGGATTTCACTAGTTTATTTCATTGGTTACTTACTTGTGATTAACAGTAGTTTATATAATAATAATCCTTGCATTTAATATAGCGCCTTTTCACGTTGAGACGTCTCAAAGCATTTCACAGTATAACTGTAAAGTGTCCAATAAATGGTTGTGGATTGAATGACCAAGTCTTTTTTGAGGAATTATTGCCCCCGGAAAAGCGATCCACCAAACTAACAAGTAACTTACTGCTACGTAAACAGAGGCGTGTGGAGTAAGGAAACTTGCCTAAGGTTTTGATTCGCCCAGGAATCAAATCCAGGTCCTCTCACTTGTGTGTGTGTGTCTGAGTGTGCGTGTGTGTGTGTTAGTTTTTAATATCGGACTAACAGTGTGCCACAGCCCTGAGTGTTGGGAATCTGTGGTGATGGGGCGGGGGAATGTGTGGTATCGACGGGCTATAGTCTGATTCACATAAAGAGCAGAGGCTCAACCAACCCACAGACATTCATTACTCACAGGCAACGGTGGATCCTTAGCTTGCAATCCTCACCCAGGATTAGATACCTGGGAAGTGCAGGAATTTCCAGCTAAGTTACAGTTAGTTCAGCCTGGCAGCAATGCTGAGGGGTAAGATTTGTGCCTGGGATGGCCTTTGTGATTATGTAAATATTGCTGAGAAATTCTTGAAGCATTTCAGTGGTGTTGCTCTGGTCCCACAAAGGTAGAAACATTTATCTACTCGCCCTGACCTCAACAAGGCAGGTTCTAGACATCAGACCCGCTGACATTTTCACTATTCTATCCCATAGGCAATGTACACAAGACAATAAGTGTTCCTTCATTTCTGCATCCAAATAACCTGGTAAGACTGTACTGGTGTCCTGCTCACATGATTCAATGGACATTCAGATTGGGAATGGCTACTAATACGGAGGGAAACAGAAAAGGTTGAAGCTTCCTTTGGCTGTTGCTCCTCTCAGTTCCTTGTCAGGTGGCTGAGCCCCTTGCACCCTTAAGAACATATAAGAACAGAAGAATTGCTAGACGAAAGAAGACCAAGGTCCATCCAGTTTGCCTTTCACCATCCTGGCAGTCGCTTGACATATCATGTCACAAACTATATATTTCACTCACTCAAACACCTTTCCCCATCATCACTCCCAGTTACTGTGGGACTCCTCCTCTCTTCCCCCCTCCCCCACCAACAACTACTCAGTGAGTACTCAGTGAAAGAGAACACACACCCCAATGCCAGACAAATGGGAATTTGCACGCATTTGTATGCCCCAATAGTTTGGTTTGGATACCCTTTAAGCAGGCGATGGGTTTCCGTGGGTGTCGGACCACAACTGACCAAAGAAAAATCCCAAACACAAACAGAGGAGTGGGAACTCGCCAATTCAGCGTCACTGACAGACACTGACAGACACTGGCAGAGACTGACAGACAGACATTGACTGACAGACATTGACTGACAGACATTGACTGTTCAGCATAAACAATTGATTGTAGACACATCCACTGAAGTCAAAAAAGTAGAGTATTTTCCCAAAAACCTGATTCGCTGTTTCAATAGAGCCTGCATTAATTGTTTAGTCATTCTTTCTCCAATAAATTAGTTTTCAAATTGCATTTAGATCCGATTTTTCAAAGCTTAGAACTAAATTAGTCTCTGGTTCTTTACCTCATCGTTTCCCATGATTTATCTATCTATTTCTCTATCTATCTCTCTATCGACTTCCCGCCCCCTGCCGTCTTTTGACTCAATACTCTGCACTGTAAGCAGAACAGGAAAAAAAGAATAGCAGCCACGGTGGCTCAGTCAATACAAAGCCTGAATATCAACAGGCTAAAATGGGTATCTGGAGTCAAGCTTTTGATGACAAGTCAAAAGCTGTTAGTTTGAGCACACGTTAGCAATGCTACATTGGCAATCTCGAGTGGGGTTTGGGTCACACGCTGACTTGCCTTCCAAAGGGCTGACGCACTTGGAGAGAATTCAAAGCAAGGTTGGATACTAAGGCTTAAAGCTAAAAGTTTATGTCTTAGAATCTTGGAAAAAAAGATTCAGGGTTCTGGGGAAGAGAAGTGGAAAGTGGGATTAATAATAAAAGGGAATTTAGAATAACAGGGATGCAACAACACAAACATGATGCGCGTTGAGCATTGCTCCCTCTGAGCCAGATAACCGTGGGATCAAGCCCGGCATTGGGGGATTTCAATCTTAGTCTGGTTAAGAATATGTTAAAATCCACCCATTCCCTGCCCTCCAAGTCAGGACCCCCTGCCACAGCTCTGAAGAGCCGTTTGGGTCTCCTGCACTGGTAACCTTGGTGTGTCAACTGTGACTCTCGGACCCTACCCTGCGTGAGGGACGCCATATAAATGCAAGGTTTTGACTCTTCTTCAATAATAAATATCTGAAGCCCGCAGGAGGCCCATGAGGAAGGAAATGGAGGAACATAAGAGGGCTTATAGGGGGGTGGGGGAGGGCTGAGAAGAGAACGATATAAACCAAAAGGAAAAGACCTGATTGTGCTCTCAGAACCTGAAGGAGGGAAAAATCATTAATGGAGTGACCCAAACCTCGGCTCGCTGTCTCCATGGTAACTCAGTTGCCACTTAAAGAGACAAAGTGCGATGATTAACATGCATGATTGTGATTAGCTAGAAGTGATGTTCGGAGCCCCAGGCACTCACTATAGACTGTGCACTGGGCAGGAGATTAGAGCTGGCTGCTCTGGGCTCTGTCGTGAGGCTTTGACTGTCGTCAACATTCCAGTCTTTCCTGTAAAGCTTGGATGGCGTTCCTCATTTGGTCCTCTGTCCCCTGCAGTATCTTCACTTCGATTGTGTGGAATACGTACAGGATCCCAGCGATCAGTACCACACCGAAGGCCACAAAGCCCAAGAAGTAGAAGGACACCTTAGGGAAGGAGTGCTCAGCCATGGCGGAGGCGAACGGGATGACCGCGATGGCGACCTCTAGTAGCAGCAGGATAAACCCCAGGATGGTCATTCTCCCGGAGGAATAGCGCACCCTCTCCGCCGCGTGGATGCCGACTTTCACCTCCGTGCGAGCTTCGTTCAGCACATCGACAAGCAGAGGATCAGGCTCTGGATTCAAGACACAGATAAGAGCATTGGTTTGGCTGAGGATGACAAAAGGACCAGGAGCTTTACAACAATAATCCCTGCATTTGACACAGCAGGTCATTGAGACATCTCAAAGCGCTTCACAGATTATACTGTAAAGTGGAGTGACTGTACATTTTGTGGGTCGAAACGCGAGGCCCTTCACACAGGATAGAGTCCCGGAACTCCGTGGACGCAATTCTATAAAGGTTCGAGTAGCTTCTTTCTTACCTTCTACGTGCCTCTTGCTGCCAGCAACACCCTCCTCCCTCTGGATTTGCAGCGTGGCACACACTGCCTCGTGGTCAGAGTAGGGAATACTTTTACCAGGCGCTGTGCCACTCGTGGTTGTTAGATGCTCACACCTCACCCGGAAGCCCTCGGATGCCTAGTTTTTCCAAAACACACTGGTTACTTAACACTTCCCTGAGCTGTTTTTCCACCTGCGTGTTCCCTCCTCTGGTTTTGCGGAGCGCGCTCACCTTACCTTGTAAAGAATGTAGTCGATTCGAATGCCCAAAGGGAACGATTGTAGGTCACTGGTCGAGGCAAAGCAGTTCTGAGAGAGTAGAGTGCATCCACCTTCTGAGCCCTGCGAGACAGCATAGCACACATCACGGGATAATTCTCAAAGGCATTTCTCTTTCCCCAACTTAACTCACAAGTTTTTTTAATAAGAATAACAATAATCGTTGAATTTGATATAGGTGGTGTGTTGCATTGTCGGAAGTGCCGTCCTCCAGACAAGACGTTAAACTGAAGTCTTATCTGCCTGGTTAGTTGGACTTTAAAAATCCCATGGCACTATTCGAAAAGAGTTTCTCTCTCCCGATGTCCAGGCTAATAATCCCCCAAGATAAAATTGGCCAATTGTTTCATGGCTTTTTGTTGGACATTGCTGTGGGTAATTGTACTGCACTCTATTTCATAGTAAATCCAGTGAAGAACTTTGAGACGTCTTTCCATCATGATAAGGCTCTATATAAAGCAAATGCAAGGATTATTATAATAATGTTTGCATTTGATATAGTGCTTTATTAAGTCTTTGAGATGTCTCAAAGTGCTTTGCATAATACACTGTAAAGTGAATTGACAACATATTTTGTAGGCAAAACGTGGCAGCCAATTTACAGTATATTATGCAAAGTGCTCTGAGACGTCTCAAAGACTTGACACTGAGCTACAGGACTCAAAATTTCAACATCAAGCAGCGGTCAGGCAATTCCTGGCAGGTCCTCAGGTCTGGTTCACATTGAAGCACTGCCATTATCCTGACCCAACATTCTGACAGCATGTTATAGCTCGGGGTGTGAAAAGCCAACGTTATTTATAGTACACGGATCATTTCTGGCAGAAAGGTACAAATTAGCTTAACTTACAGATTTGTAGCTCACACTGACGTTGGCTAACAGCAACCCTGGTCAAGCGCGTCAACTTCTATAATAATCTAATAATAATCCTTTCATTTGATATAGCACTTTGAGACACTGAGATGTCTCAAAGCGCTTCACCGGATATACTGTCAAATAGATTAACTGTATATTTTTGGGGCAAATGCAGTGGCCAATTGCACACAGCAGTTGTGGATTGAGTGATGGAATTTATTCATTTATTTATTTATTGGAGGGATTATTATGCCCAGAATGCGATCTGTCAATCGACTAACAATCGGGTTCCTACTCACTGCTAGGTAAACAGAGGCGTGTGGAGTAAGGAGAATTGCCCAGGAATTGAACCCACTGAAGTGAGCGCTCTAACCACTAAGCTACAGGGCTCTTCTATTCTATCACCACTGTCACTGACTCTCCACACTCTAGGAATCTTCACCCTTGTCGCTCACACAGCATTCGATCTCATGACTGTACAAGGCGCAAATCAGCCAGTACATCTCTTCGAATAACAGGAAGCATTGGTTAGGACCAGGGGCTTTGGAGGATGTACCTCAAATTTTTCCGCCTCTAAGAAGGAGTCTTTGAGGCCGGTGGAGATCTGTAGCAGCCGGTTGCCCAGGTCGGCAGGGTGCATGTTCAGGTCCCCGCCTAGAATCACCAAGTCCGCTGTTTTACTGGTGTGCCTGCCAAACAAAAGGCATTATTGTTGTTATTATTATTATTTATTACCAAACCCAGCGCTCAGACATTGGGCCAGCTCTCCCCTGGCGGGGGTAGCCAGTGCGCTCTACGTCTCTCGCTTACCGGATGAACTGTGCGAGCTCCCAGGCCTGCAGTAGACGGTGAGGAAGGTAATCATCATTTTCCCTGCAGTATTCCGCGTGGAGCTGCAGGAAGCAGGAACACGAGTTAGAATCAGAGACGCTCAGCATTTATACACACAGTACCGCTTCAACAACAACAACTTGTATTTATATAGGGACCCTCATGCAGGATAACGTCCAAGTGTGCTTGACAGTGGCGGAGTACGACTCTGAGACAGGGGGAAGGGACAATAGGCATGGTCGAAGAAGGTCTTCAGGCATAACCTGAAGATTGAGAAGGAAAGGGCTAGGCGGGAAGGAGTGAGGGAGACAGTGACAGAGTTTCGAGGTGTAGTGGCTGAAAACGCGGCCACTGATGGAGGGCACAAGCGCCATGCAGGATGCTGGAGCCAGTCGAGCGGAGGCAGTAGATAGTGTCAGGAACCTGGGTGTCTTGTTTGACCCTGAACTGTCCTTTCTCCCCCACATCCGCACCATGACCGGCACTGCCTACCACCACCTCCACAACATTGCCAGACTCCACCACTGTCTCACCCCTCAGGGCCCGAAACCCTCACCCAAGCAATCGTCACATCAAGGCTCGATTACAGGAACTCCCTCCTCATCGGCCTTCCCAACTCTTTCCTTCACAAACTGCAGATCATCCAAAACTCTGCAGCTCGTGTACTCTCACGCACCAGACTCCGTGACCCCATCACTCCGACCCTCGCCTGATCCCATCACTCCCACCCTCGCCCAAACCCATCACTCCACCTCGTCCGATCCATCACTCCCCCTCACCCAAACCCATCACTCCACCCTCGTCCGATCCCATCACTCCCACCCTCACCCGACCCCATCACTCCCACCCTCGCCCGACTCCACTGGTCCCCATCCCCCAGAGGATCGAGTTCAAGATCCTCATCCTCACCTTTAAGGCCATCCATGGCCTTACCCCCTCCTACCTCTCTGACCTGCTGACTCCCTACCAATCTGCCCGCTCCCTCCATTCAGCGGGCTCCATCCTACTCCATGTCTCCTACCCGACCTGCCCTACCATCGGTGGCCGGGCTTTCATCCTCTCTGCCCCCACACTCTGGAACTCCATCCCACGATTCCTTCACCTCGCTTCCTCCCTCGCCTCCTTCCAAGGCCGGTCTCAAGACCCCTTCTTTTTGACCGTACCTTTGGTCGCCCTCCCACCTCTCTGCCTTCCCTCACCCCTCCCCCATGCTCGGGCCCCGACATCTGACTGTTCAGCGCTTTGGGACATCCTCCCGACGTGAAAGGCACTCTATAAATGTCATTTTGTTGTTGTTGTAGTAGGTTGGGGACTTCACAATCTGAACAACAGCCAAGATCTAACATTTCAATATTAAATGTAAAAACTTTGCATGTGAAAAGTACAGAGGTCGCGGACTATTTTTGTCGGGCAGTAATGTAGAAGATAGATTAAATTACTGATACTTGTCCAATCTGCAATGTTACCTACATCTTGTAACAGTGTACTTTGTTCAGGAGCCAAGTTCAACATATACTTTCCACACACAGGGTCTTGGACTGAACTCACTTTACTGAACAAGCCTCGAGAACTTGAAAAATCATGTTATCTTCATTCCTTTCAAGCTCACTGCTTCACACTATGTTGTGGTATCTCTGACACCACAAGCTGTTAGGCAGCAAACTCCTCACCCAAGTGAGATAGATCCCTTCTTAAGCGAGCTCCGAGGTTGACGACAAGTTAAGCGATCATGAGGAGGTGAAACACATTAAATATATACCCAGTAATAATAATAATCCTAATAATCCTTGCATTTGATATAGCGACTTATCACGTCTTCAGGACGTTTCAAGGGCTTCACAGAATGTACTGTAAAGTGAATTGATTTCATATCTTGTGGGGGAAACGTGGCAGCTAATTGTGCACAGAAGTGTCCCACAAACAGTCGTGGATTGAGTGATCCAATTTTTTTTAAAGGGATTATTATCGCCAGAAAAGTAATCTGCCAATCAACTAACTAACTAACCGAGTTTCTAGTTACTGCCAGGTAAACTGCTAGGTACTGCATGTGGAGTAAGGAAACTTGCCTAAGGTTTCGCCCTGCCGGGGAATCGAAGCCAGGTCCTCTCACTTGCGAGGCAAGCGCTCTAATCACTATGCTACAGTACCAGGGTTGGTATTAGACAATTTGTCCAAGTTACATTCCCTGGTACACACTGAGATGATAGTGGAATACGCAGCTGGGAGACTGGTGAGCAGAGCAGTATATAAATTGCACTCACATGTGTAAGGTAAACATGGGCCATGATGCCTTGTATGTTCACAATAACCAAAGCCACAGACTTCCCACCAAACCAATCGCCATGCTGGACCTGAAATAAAGTGGGACAATGTTACTGTACTGCAGCACTGTACCTGAAGTGCAATGGTATTACACGGCACTGCACCAACACCCACTGACACTACAGCACGCTGAGAAATGCTGCATCGTATTCCCCCCCCACCCAACCACATCACAAGCCACTGCCCCAACCACATCACAACCCACTGCCCCAACCACATCACAACCCACTGCCCCAACCACATCACAACCCACTGCCCCAACCACATCACAACCCACTGCTCCAACCGCATCACAACCCACTGCTCCAACCACATCACAACCCACTGCCCCAACCACATCACAACCCACTGCCCCAAACACATCGTAACCCACTGCCCCAACCACATCACAACCCACTGCCCCAACCACATCACAACCCACTGCCCCAACCACATCACAACCCACTGCCCCAACCACATCACAACCCACTGCCCCAACCACATCACAACCTACTGCCCCAACCACATCGTAACCCACTGCCCCAACCACATCGTAACCCACTGCCCCAACCACATCGTAACCCACTGCCCCAACCACATCGTAACCCACTGCCCCAACCACATCGTAACCCACTCTCGCAACCACATCGTAACCCACTGCCCCAACCACATCGTAACCCACTACCCCAATCACATCGTAACCCACTACCTCAACCACATTGTAACCCACTGCCCCAACCACATCGTAACCCACTGCCCCAACCACATCGTAACCCACTGCCCCAACCACATCATAACCCACTCTCGCAACCACATTGTAACCCACTGCCCCAACCACATCGTAACCCACTACCCCAACCACATCGTAACCCACTGCCCCAACCACATCGTAACCCACTGCCCCAACCACATCATAACCCACTGCCCCAACCACATCGTAACCCACTGCCCCAACCACATCGTAACCCACTCTCGCAACCACATCGTAACCCACTGCCCCAACCACATCGTAACCCACTACCCCAATCACATCGTAACCCACTACCTCAACCACATTGTAACCCACTGCCCCAACCACATCGTAACCCACTGCCCCAACCACATCGTAATCCCCCTGCCCCAACCATACTTTAACTTACTGCCCCAACCATCGTACCTCTCTGCCCTGGCGAGCTCATAACTGCCCGGAGAATTTTCCATTGGTCTCTATATGACAACTGATTGGATCAAAACAATAGGTTCTTCCTCATCCCCTCTCAATGCCTGTTTATTTTATCGATATAACTATAAAATCACGCCTTTCCTTCGTTCCTCCCAACCTCTTGATATAGCGGCTCACGCTCCTTCATCTCTCTCCATTCTAATCAAATGGCCTGACACAGTTTCCTCCACCAGAATGGTCAAGACTGTGGAGCTCATTTTGCCTTCCTCCTGCAATCCGCAAGCTTTTAAACTCAAACTCAACTTGATCTATGCAAAGCCTTCCGTATCTCTAGCAACCTTGCCCCTTCACCTTGTTGTCAATTGTAAACCACACCACCCCTACTTTACCTTGTATGGGTAGCCATTCAGTGAGTAACGGTAGAGGAAGGAGTCAATTATTTTATATCTGGAGAAGATGCACAGTCCGCTTCCTATTGCTCCGCTGAAAGACAGACAGTGAAACTCATTCAGTACAAACAGTTTCACAAAATAGTGTCTGGAACATCAAAATATCTCAAAATGCTTCAGAGAGACTTTCTGTCAAGTGTAGTGACAGTGCATTTTGCAGCCAATTTGAGCAAGCACCAAGTAGCAATGAAGTGAATGGCTGATTCATCTGAAGAAATGCTGGCCCAGGACACGGGGACAAACTCTCTTCTCTTTCGTACAAACATTCTGTAGCGTCTTTAACATCCACCTGAACAGGCAGTTTAAAGTCTCACCCGAAGGCAAGCTACATTTCCAATATTTCTAGCTCCAATCATACGAATGTCCATGATCCTAGATAACCCCTTCCACAATTGCATCCCTAATACTGGTTCGGTCTGTCCCAGCATTGACTCATCCAGGTAGCCTCATCTCTGGGTCAGAGGATTGTGGTCCAACCCCACATTAGACTTTGAGCTCACGGGCTAGACTGACATGCCAGCGGAGCGCTGGGAGGAACTGCTGAGGGGACTTTGCACCTAAAGGGTTGAGAGCTTTGTGATTATTTTGTGATAAGAAGTTGGCACTTTTGAAAATTGCCAAATTGCTATTCAGATGTGGTCTGCAAACAGAGCGGAGGGCAAAATCTGGTGAAGTAGAAATCCCTCACCTTCTGAAGTACTGTGAAGAGGAGTACGTGTTTATCATCTCGTTTTTCAGGAAATGGTAATCCTGCTCACTCCACACCTGGAAAAGAGATGGCACAAAACACAAAAGCTCTTTCTTCTCCTGTCAATGCTCTTTCTCCTCCTTTGGAGGTCTTACACAGTTAGAACAGAAGTACAGGATATGGCTTTACAATAACAAGAACAATAATGTGCATTTACACAGCACCTTTCACCAAGGTGAGATCGGCTCAGGATGCTTCACAGAGATTGATTGGGAGCCCCGAACCAGGTGTGCGATGGGGGGAGGGTAGGAAGAATGGTGGAGTCACAGAGATTGTTCAACTGATTAGACAGAGTTTGAAAGCAGAGAGGAAGGATTTAGATGATGAAAATGATTCTCGCATTTGATATAATATCAAAATATCACATAACCCTGCCCAGCATATGCTGTGAAGTGTAATTGTGCATTTGTAGGTGAATGCAGCAGTCAATTTGCACACAGAAATGCCCTATAGGCAGTCATGAAGTAAATGACTAATATTATCTGGAGAACTGTTGGCCAGGATCCAGGCGAAACTCCCTGCACTTTTCATAAGAACATACGAATTGCTAGACAACCAAGGTCCACTAGTTAATCTTCTACCATCTTGGCAGTCGCATGCACATGTCATGTTACAAACTAAATACTGTATCCCAAAATATTATTTTAGAACAGTGCCATTTAACCACCACCTAAGCAGACAGACAAGATCTCGGTGTAACAACTTTACAGTAAATCCTGTGAAGTGCTTTGAAATCTCCCAACATGGAAGGTAATAATAGTCCTTGTATTTGATATAGTGCCTCATCACATTGTTGAGATGTCTCAAAGTGATTCAAAGAATATACTATAAAGTGGATTGATTCTGTATTTTGTGGGCAAAACGCAGCAGCCAATTGCGCACAGCAATGTCCCACAAACAGTCGTGGGTTGAGTGACCAAATTATTATTATTTTTGTTTTTAAAGGAATTATTGCCGCCCGGAAAAGCGATCCGGACTAACAACCGGGTTCCCATTTACTGCTAGGTAAACAGACGTGTGGAGTAAGAAAACTTGCCTAAGATTTCGCCCTGCTCAGGACTCGACTGTCCTCTCACTTGAGGCGGGTACTCTATAAATATGGCTTTACCTGATCAATGTCATTACTTTCTTCTGTGATTCTCAGTGTTAGTGCATGGCGAAACCTTAGGCAAATGTCCTCACTCCACAAGCCTCTGTTTACTGTATCAAATGTAAGGATTATTATTATTAATTAGCATTTGGGATCAGACTACATTGACACAGTTCAAGAACGGGGGAGAAGAACTCAAGTCCTGCTGTTCGCGTGGCAGGGCAGAGATCAGATTTTATTATCTAACCCAGAGAGCGAAGCAAACTGTGTCAGCAAATTCAAGAGAGAAAGTTGCTGAGTGAAAAGTATGATGGACTAACCAGGAAGGTGATGGAAGCAGAATGTGTCAGCAAGACCAAAAGACATGTTGCTGGCTATTAAGTGACAAATGTAATTGAGGACATGAGAGAGACTTGCCCTTCTCCTTACTCAGCAACTTCCTTGTTAGGTTTGGCCCAGAGAGCAGATAGAGACGGAGTGAGATTTTTCCATTGCAATCCAAAAAAGCAAAGCACCTCAAGACAGAAAGTATAATTGAAAGCATGGATTTATGGAAGGAAGGAAGGGCTCTTAAAGTAAAAATAATAGACAATAAAATAAAATTAATAGTAATAATAATCCTTGTATATGATTCAGCCCCTTTCATTTCAGAAGGATGTCATAAAGCGCTTCACATGGTTTACTATAAAGTGTAGCAACTGGACATTTGTAGGTGAACAAGTGTATTTGTAGGCAGCCTAAGGGCAAACAGCAATGCCCCACAAACAGCCATGAAGTGAATGACCAATTATATCTGGTTGATTGTTGGGCCGGACACTGAGAGAAACCCCCTTCTCTTTTCAAATAGTGCCATGGGATCTTTAATGGCTACCTGAACAGGCAGACGGGGTTAACATCTCATCTGAGGACCCGCTCCTTGCCTAAGGTTTCGCCCCACCTGGGAATCAAACCTGGGTCCTCTCGCTTGTGTGGGTTAGGGTTAGAGCAGTGAGTCCAAGTCCCGACGTGGGGCTTGAACCCACAATCTTCAGACTCAGAGGCGAGACTGCTACCGAACTGAGCCAGGCTGACACACAAGGGAAATTCAGTGGGTGGTAGGAACTTAAGAGCAGCATGTCGCAATGTGTCCTCTGACCCCACAACCTTGTTCCATCGAGTGCCCGAGGACAAGCTGTAGATACCCACAAAGCCGAAAGATCAGAGTTTGAAAACCAGAGCATTTGGGGATGAAGGAGAGGAAACCCACCTCCTGCAGCAGAACCACATCGTACGTCTCATCACACAGCAGCTTAGCGATCATTTCATACCTCTCCCGGCAGCACTTGCTGAGGTAACGGATGCCCCTGCAAACAAGGAGGAAGTGAAAACAGCTGGAAGTGTATTGGTAATGATAATAATAATCCTTGCAACTGATATAGTCTTATCACATCACCGAAACATCTCAAAGCACTTCACAAAATATACAGTAAGTGGAGTGACTGTATTTTGTCGGTGAAACGCAGCAGCCAGTAATAGCAATCTCCCACAAACAGCCATGGAGTAAGTGACCAATTTTATTTTGGGGGATTGCTTGCGAGGAATCCGGGAGAAAGTCAATTCTCTTTTCGAACAGTGCCATGGGATCTTTAACATCCACCTGAACAGACAGACTTGGTTTAACGTCTCATCCGAAGGACAAAACCTCCGATAATGCAACACATCCCCTGCGCTGCATTAGAGCGTGAACTTAGACCACGTGATTCCAATGTGGGTCTAGGAACCTACAATCTTCTGCCTCAGATGCGAGAGCGCCACCACTGAGCCAGGCTGACACACAGCTCCCGTGCAACAACAACAATTTACATATATACACCTTTCATATCGCAAGAATATGTCCTGCTGGCACAGTGAAGGCAGAGCCAAGCCCTGCAGCTGGTGTTTCAGTTTAATTATTTATGCGGTCAACATTATATAGTTAGTCACTGCGAAGCTGCTTCTCTATCTCACAACAATCTACATTAATTAAACCACTGCTCTTCAGACTTCTCTGAAATGTTTATTTTGGGGGCAATTTGGGGTTGATCTCACCAGGTTATTAATTATCAATATTGCTCTCCGATGCTTGTGTCAGCTGCACTCCAATATCTACAGAGTCTTTCTGAGTGCAGAGGTTCTCATGTTTGTATTTTGTGGGGAGGTCACTAAATTAGTGGATGATCCTGACCCAGTTGCTATACTTTACTTCAATTTGCATTGACACATGATAAAGGTCCAATTGAGTCTTCTGAAAAAATAGATAAAGGTCATGGAATTACCGCCTGCGTATTGCAACTTCCCCTAATCTAACCTTCTTGCCCAATTCTCTTAACATCCATACTTAATGTCTATCTATTTCTCCATTATGTCCCTCAACTGATTTCTGATCTCTGGCAATGCGTTAGTTTCTTATCACTCTCTGAGAGAAGAAATTCTTCCTCATCTCGGTATTAACCGGCTATTTGTCTAAATTTAAGATTGGAGAGGGAAGAGTTGCTGATTTTGCTTATTTTGTCAAATTCCTTTCCTTAATTATAATAAACAATAATACTGCTTGCATTTGATGTAGCGTCTTATCACATCTTCAAGACGTCTCAAAGTGCTTCATAGGATATACTGTAAAGTGAATTGACTATATTTTGTGGGCGAAACTCGGCAGCCAATTGTGCACAGCACAAGAATTATTACCCCCGGAAAAGCGATCTGCCAATTGACTAACAACAAGGTTCCTACTTAGGTAAACAGAGTAAGGAAACTTGCCTAAGGTTTCACCCTGCCCGGGAATCAAACCAAGGTCCTGTCGCTTACGAGGCGAGCGCTCTAACCACCAAGCTACAGGACACCATGATAATTCTAAACACCGATCAGATCATTCCTCAACCTCCCTGTTACAGAGAATACATCTCTAGCCTTACCCACTCAAGCCTATCTTAGCCTTTGTTACGAGTTTAACCTCCCTCCTCCTCTCAATCTTGCACATCACTCTCATGTCACGTGAAGATTTTCTCAAACCAACAGACCCTTCCTGTTATGTACAGTTTGGAACAGATTGGCTTCCTCTTGCCGCCCACAATATTTTCACCACAGCACTCCAAATAACTTCTGAACTGTGGAGCAGGCACATATATAATGTAGACTCATGGGATGTGTGCAATAGTGTATGACAGAGCTGATCTCAAGATTCACAAATATTAAAGTCAGCTTCACCAGTGGCTTATGTATTTTTCAATATGTATTTAGTTTGTACCAGATATAAATTATATCTTAAGAGATAATAAAGATGAGTTTAATGAAGCATTCTAATCATTTCTACTTTAGGTCCACGCAGTTAGCAATTGAGCAAATTCTAACTTATCTGCGTCAGGACAGAACTGGTTTAAAATGCGTATGCTCTATTTTTTCTCCCCAAATGAATCCAATACTCAGAGAGGGAGAGAGACTGAGAAACTGAGAGAGAGGGACAGAGAGAGAGACTGAACCAATGACATTATGAGAGATTAAATGTATATCAGTAACGTGAGACAGGACACATGCTTGGAAGAACTAGGCAACTTTGGATCTAAGGTTCCCAAAGCTTTCCACTGTGATGGTAGACTATACAGAATTAATTCAAAACAGACTGGATGACCTTGGTCTTTTTTCATCTCACAAAATTCCTAAATGTAATGGACTAGGTCACTAAATTCTTCTCATGCTGCAGAGAAGCAGGAAGCAGCAAAAATGCTGACTTGTTTCCCCACTAAGATGAGCTGTCAGTGGTAGAGTTCTGCATGTGATTGTTTTTATTTGTCAGCCGGGTATCTGACATGCGCAGAAACCCACAACCACACTTAAAGAGTTTCCAAACCAGACGCATAGAATTTATGGTTTGTCCAGAATGGAGCGGTCACTCTCTTCGATAAGTCAAAACTCTCTCTCGCAAACGCATCTAAGAAGGCAACAGGTTGGCAGAGTCAAGGCTTGAGGATCACAGTGGTCATTTTGTCTTTAAGTGTGTGTTACAATACAATAAAAAATTACTTTGTATAGGGCCTTTCGCATCGAGAGGACATCCCAAGGTGCTGGACAGTCAGGGATTTGGACCCGAGCTGAGGGTCGGGATCAGGGAGGGTGGAGGGCAGGGACAGTAGGAGGGTGGCCGAAGGCGTGATCGAAGAGGATGGTTTTGAAATGTGCCTTGAAGGAGGCAAGGGAGGGAGCAAGGCGAAGGGAATGTGGGATGGAGTTCCAAAGGGTGGGGACAGAGAGAGCGAAGGCCCATCCGCCGATGGTTTGTGGTAACTACCAGAGTTTAACCAGCTAAAACTGTGCTGGTTGATTGCGATTGGCAAGCTTCTTGTTCCCCGCCCAGCTAGGACCACGCATCTTTAGTGTCTGGGCTTCAGCTTGCAGGGTAACAGGAGATTGCCGGTAGCAATGACTGATCTGCCCTCTGAGTCCTGAATGTTTCAAGGTCAGCTCCTATCCTCTCACTGCTTATTCCAGATCTGTTTCGTTACAATATTAACGCACAATGGATAAGACTCTTCCTTTTCAAGCAGAATTATTGAACGTGTGTAACCACTGCAACAAACAGCTAGCTCTCGCTGAAACCAGTGTGGAGTAATCTGCCGGCTCAGCAAGACTGAAGACTGAACAGAGAGGTTCACAAGTCCAATGTGATTTGGCAAAGTCGGGCTATAAAACACAAATCATACTTTATACAGTAAAAATAGAGACATACCAGCAATTTAGTGTGAACACCCGGAACCTCACAGCAAGCGGCGAAGCCATGGCAGCGGAGAATTATACCGAACTGTCAAACTCCTAGAGAGAGACAAAAGAATTGCTTTTAGATGGAATATCTCTGTAGCAGCCGTTTGTGCAGTTCCTGATTGTGTAGTTGATACAGGAAGAGAGAGTCAGCAGTTACAATGATTGCCCCTAAATACGCCCTAAACCCCTGCTCCTCCCACTACCCCTCCGTCTCACACGTCTCTGCCTAGTTTAAGTCCCACCTTATAAAGCTACCTCTTTGACGGCGCCTAAGGTCACCTTCCCTCTATGCTGACACCTCCAGGACACTAATAAAGAGCTACCGGCAACCCACCTCCACCAAAAAAGAGACCTTGTCACCAAAAGTTTAAATCAAACGAGGTTCAAGTGAGGTTCATTCATGTTTTTGTCAGTACCTACGTGCCTCCCACCAACATTCATGCTATTGTGAATTTCTCCCATTCTCTCACACAGCAGTGTTCCATAAACAGTTGTGTATCGAGTGACTAAAAATTATTTTTTTAAATTTATTTTGAAGGAATAAATACTCCCGGTAAAGCGATCCACCAATCGACTAACAACCGGGTTCCTACTTACTGCTGGTAAACAGAGGCGCGTGGAATAACGAAACATGCCCAACGTTTCTCCCTGCAGGGAGTTGACACCAGGTCTCTCTCGCTTGCAGGGCGAGTGCTCAGAATGTCTGTCAGACATCAAGTCCTGGATAGAGCTAACTTTCAACAGTTGAACGTCACCAAGACCGAGGCTCTCCCGATTGGCTTCAGTCAGCGTCTCCACACTTCAGGCGCTGACAGCTTCACCGTCCAAGGATGCACACTCCGCCTCACTGAGCCAGTCTGCAACCTTGGGGTCTTGTTTGACCCTCAACTATCTTTCTACCCAACATCCGTGCCATGAACCACTTTGCCTTTCCCCACCTCCGCAACATCACCCGACTCCACCACTGTCTCAAACCACAGGCCCACTGAAACCCTCATACACACCTTCGTAACATCCAGACTTGACTCTGCAAACTCGCTGCTTGTCGGCCTCCCCAACTCCTCCCTCCATAGGCTGCAGATCATCTGGTACTCTCTGGCCCCCGCACTAGGTTGAGGTGAGAGGAGAGGCAGTGGATGGCCAACAGTGTTGACCACTCTATCCTCGTGGCCTTGATCCGCTACCTCTGAGACCTCTTAACCCCTACCAACAAACCCGCTTGCTCCACTCAGCAGGCTCCGGCCTGCTTAACATCCCCTGCACCAGGATCCGTGACACTATCAACCCCAACCTTATCCTACTCCACTGGCCTCCCGTCACACAGAGGATACAGTTCAAGAACCTTCATCATCATCATCAAGCACCACAACCACCACGAGCAACCAACAACAACCACAACAATTACAACAAAATTACATTTGTATAGCATCTTTCACGTCGGGAGGACGTCTCAAAGCGCTGGACAGTCAGTGTTTCGGACCTGAGCTGGGGGTCAGGATTGGGGAGGATGGAGGGTGGTGGGGGGGTGGGGGTGGGCGGAAGGAGGGTGATTGAAAGCACGATCGAAGAGAAGGGTCTTCAGATAGGTCTTGAAGGAGGCGAGGGAGGGCGCGAGGCGGAGGGACTGCGGGATGGAGTTCCAGAGGGTGGGGCAGAAAGCCTGCCCGCCAATAGTGGGGCGGATAAGGTGAGGGACGTGAAGCAGACCAGAGCCGGCTGAGCGGAGGGAGTGGGCAGAATGGTAGGGAGTTAGGAGGTCACAGAGGTAGGGGGCAGCAAGGCCATGGAGGGTTTTGAAGGTGGGGACCAGGATCTTGAACTGTATCCTCTGAGTGATGGGAAGCCAGTGGAGTCGGGCGAGGATGGGGGTGATAGGGTCACGGAGCCAAGTCTGGGAGAGGACACGGGCTGCAGAGTTCTGGATGATCTGCAGCCTATGGAGGGAGGAGTTGCAGAGGCCGACTAACAAGGAGTTTGGTAGTCAAGCCTCAATGTTATGAAAGCATGAATGAGGGTTTCGGCGGCCTGTGGTATAAGACAGTGGCGGAGCCGGGTGATGTTCCAGAGGTGGGGAAGGCAGAGCGGGTCATGGCGCAGATTTGGGATAGAAAGGATAGTTGAGGGTCAAACAAGACCCCAAGGTTCCGGATTGGCTCAGTGAGGGGCAGTGAGCCCCATGGATGGTGATGCTGTCAGCGCCTGAGGTGAGGAGATCTTGTTGACGTTCAACTGAAGAAAGTTAACTCTCATCCAGGACTTGATGTCTGACAGACATTCTGTCAGGACAGCAGTGGGTCCTGGAGTCGAGGGGGGAGGCAGAGAGAGAGAGTTGGGTGTCTCATCTGCACCACATGTGGAAGTTGACCCCATGTCTGTGGATGATGTCACCGAGAGGGAGCATATAGATACTGAAGGAGGGGACCAAGGACGGAGCCCTGAGGAACACCACACAAGACGGTGCGAGGGCTGGAGGAGAAGTCGTTTGTGGAGATAAAGTGGAGTCGGTGTGAGAAGTACGATCTGAACTATTCAAGGGCAGAACTGTGAAGGTTGAAGTGAGAGGAGAGGCGGTGGATGAGAATAGAGTGGTCAACGGTGTCGAAAGCCTTCCGTGGCCTTGCTCCCCCGTACCTCTGCGACCTTCTAACCTCCTACCAACCTGCCCGCTCCCTCCGCTCAGCGGGCTCCGGCCTGCTTCACACCCCATGCCTCGCCTGTCCCACCACTGGGGGGGTGAGCCTATAGCCACACTGCCCCCATTCTCTGGAACACCAACCTGCAGTCCCTCCACCTCGCCCCCTCTCTTGTCTGATTCAAGACCCTCCTCTTCAACTGTGCCTTCAATCACCCTCCTTTCCCCCGTCCTCCCCAATCCCGACCCCCAGCTCGGATCCGAAACACTTGATTGTCCAGCGTCTTGGAATGTCCTCGCAACGTGAAAGGGACTATACAAATGTAATTTTGTTGTTGTTGTTGCTCTAACCAGGGCGAAACCTTGGGCAAGTTTCCTTACTCCACACGCCTGATAACAATCCCCAAATCAAAAACAATAATAAATTGGTCATTTTCAATCCATGACTGTTTGTAGGACACTGCTGTGCGCAATTGGCTTCCACATTTCACCCACAAATATACGGTCAATTCACTTTACAGTCTATTCTGTGAAGCGCTTTGAGACGTCTAGAAGACGTGAAAAGCACTCCATCACATGCAAGGATTATTATTATTATTATTATAACCACTAAGCTACAGAACTCCATATCAAATGCAAGGATTATTATTATTAAAGAGCTAAATTGTCAACCAAAGTGACGATTTATGATACGCTTATGTAGCACCTTTCACATCAGCAGAACGTCTCAAAAGTCTACTGTACTGATTTGGTAAGCTGAGCCAGCAGTGGCACAGACTCGATGGGAGGAATGACTGCCTCCCATCTTCGAGATCCCCCGAATCAGAGGCATGACCAAGGAGAGGAGGAAGAAACCACAAATAAGCAAATGTATGTGAAATTGCCTCAGGAATGTGCACAAAGTGGTGCAGAATGTAACCAGACTTCTACACAAGCTAAACCCTACGGTTCATGTTTCTTCAATCATCTCCCTCAGCTGCGGCAACGTATAAAAGGGATGTAAAAGTTAAAAAAAATGCGATCACTCAATCCACGATTGTTTGGTGGGACACTGCTGTACGCAATTGGCTGCAACATTTGGCCACAAAATATAGTCAATTCACTCTCCAATATATTCTGTGCAAGGCTTTTCAACGTCTCAACTACATAAGGCACGGTATCAAATGCAAGGATTATTATTATTATTATGTGAGGCCTGAAAGTGTAAACAGCGAACTGCATTGTGTGTGTGTTGTTTGTTTGCATTGTATGTGCATGGGTCTGTGTTGTGTGCATGTGTCTGTGTGCATATGTGTTGTGTGCGCGTGTGGTTGTGTGTCACTGCATCTGCAATATGGATGTCTGAAAGGATTCACTGCAGAGCTCTCCATAGTGTGTGTGTGTGTGTGAGAGAGAGAGAGAGAGAACTAATCTGCATTACTGATACTGCAAAATTCACCTATCTGTGTGACTCTTCTCTAATGAGGGTCAAAGCTTCCAGTGTACACCAGCCTCAAAGCGATAAGAAAGAAAAATGCTGCATTAGCTGTCGTTGGGACAATAGCACACAATGATCACCCTCCTTCCCCCCACCTCCCCCCCAAGGTCATTACACAGATTATTCATACGGAAAAGAGACGTAAAAATAAGAGAAGGAAAGAAAGCAAATCGAAAACAAATCCCCAAAAAACTACAACTTCATTTTGATGTCTGGTTTGTACTGGCTTCTCCCAGCACAACATAAAGCTGAGAGCAACACATTCTACAAATATGCTGTATTCTTGTGTGTGTGTGTTTACCCACAAAATATACAGTCAATTCACTTTACAGTATATTCTGTGAAGCGCTTTGAGACGTCTCAAAGACGTGATAAGGTGCTATATCAAACACAAGGATATTCCACATTGCGCTGACCGACACGCACAGCTAAAAAGGCACAGGATCTATCAGGAAAAACTGATACCCAAGAGTGTTTCTAACACCTAAAGTGCCTATAGATATTCCTCCAGGCAGTGATATAACAGCGCTCAGTAAGGCCCAATCAGTAATTTATAGGAAAGACTTTACTGAGGGCTTTGGATGAAATTATCATAGATGAAAGGAAAGGGTTAGCAGGTCAAACAATCCCGTTCTCCCAGAGGCAGAAGAAGCAAGTCAGTGGCTCTTTGCTTCACCCTAACTTTAAGGTTGTCCAAATCAGACCGAAAGCCCCATATCTACATAACATGTCCTTTCATAGCGCCTTTCACACAAGGAGAACATATCGATTTGTAACCACAATCTGAAACCCTCAATGACGCAAATACCGTACTTCAAAGACGCTTATAATATTCCTTACATTTGATATAGCTCTTTCATGTCAGGAGGTTGCGCTTAACAAGATTCACTGTAAAGTGCAGTGACTGTGTATTATAGGCGAACGCAGCAGCCAATTTGAGCA